GACAAAGAATATTTCAAATCATTAAAGCCATTTGAACTTTTCAAGTATCGCAATTCCAGCTAATCAAGTGTCTGTTATCATACAGAAACAAATACACTTCAAATCGTACAGGTTTTACCATGCAAAAATAGCATACGGATATGGAAACTAAAATATATGTAATTTCCAACCAGTGTTATTGTCATCATAAAAAAATAGTTTTAAAGGCACCTGACATGAAGTGTTTAATGAGTACGGCTTGTTTCAATATTTATATTACGATACTCATGTGACACTCAAGTACAAAAATAGATTTGCCGATTATCAATAACTACTTGACCAGAAATGTGTTATAACGATATCTTCAGTCAATATTGTCTATTGATAAATTACTTGAGACTATCATTAAGTCAATAACAGGGTATGACTGTAAGGTATACATCAACTCCAAGTGTTTGTCACGTTTCTCCGGCCTCGGACTTCAGAGTACAGGACAAAGTAAAGTAGTCACATGCAAGCTAAATGTAAATAAAACCTGCATCACTGTGTAAAGTCCTCATTGGTTTGCTTAATTATAGATAATCTTTAAACAAAACAAATATCTTGTTTATTGATTGGATATTTTGATGCCTGAATATTCAGGAAATAAATAAAATATCACATATTTACCAAAATTTATATAAAGCATTTTTAAGTGCTTTTTATTGGTTCTTGCAGTCTCATATCTAGCTACAAATGGACAGATAAATAAAGGGCACCTGTTTAACAAGGTCTTCATTGCTTCAATATTTCATTGTTTGCATTATTAATCAATTAAAATAAAACATGCTTTAACAAGATATACCCAATATCAAGCAGGTAAAACTACTTTTACCAGGAAGTTTACAGAGTTTTCATGTGACTCATTGCTGAGAGCTTGTAAAAACATTCATGATGAAGGACGGCAATAAAAGTACTGTTCTCTGGCGGTTTTATATCACAAATTTTTTGTATTGCTTTTGTGTTGTATTGTACAAAAGGACAATAGTGGTGAATATGATGATATATTCCTAAGAAACAAATCTATACATGAAACTTAATCAAAGTCACTGAACCTTGAAATGTAGGTCACAGTTATCAAAATCTTACTGCACTTTGCACTATACAAAAAGACAGTAAAAATTAAATACATGTATTATTAAAGACTTCTGATATATTGACCTAAACACAAATATTAAGGGGGTATACACAGACAGACAATGTTGAAATCTATATGCCATGCTGTTTGGCCCAAATAGGCAGGGGGAAAATAGACAAGGATAAAGGTCAGATTTGCATTATTAGATACTGATGAATGGTGGTTTCTAGGTTTCACATAATGGCAAACCTCATTTACATGGTTTTTCAATTATTGGTACATCAAAGTAAAGTGGATATATTTAAACCACAAAAACCAATTTGTTTTAGATTGCATATATCAGTTTTTAATAATTTGTGTGTACAACCAATAAATTAAACCTTAAACTAATCAATATGTATAATTGTTAGAGCTATATTCATGGTCTTATATTATTTGGATTTTTAACAATGAATGCTGTTTGATATTTAACTAGCTGTTTTCATTTAATAATATTTGATTAACAATTTTATATTTAATGATAATTTGTTTTTCGTTGTGGATCAGATATTGTTATAAGCAGACAAACAGACTGGTTTATTGATACCAATGAATTGATTACTGCTGTCTCTTTAAAATATTTGAATAAATGCAGTTGAAAGTAGAATATAGATCTTGGTGATCCAATGATAAATACTAACTCCTACAACCCTAAAGACCTCTATTACTGAAGAATTCCAAATCTTACCGAACTCTATTGCAGAAAACATATCACTACTTATAAACTTTTGCACATCAGCAATATTACAAATCTCCATGTTCAATTTCAGACACATTAGGTTTAAAAATGTTTAATTCAATTCTTTCATTTATGTGTCTCTTATAATATACATTTATTATTTGTTTATCATTGTTTGAAAATGCTTAACTCTTCTGGGACACTATGTGTCTCTTTAAAAATGCATTTATTATTTTTTTATCATTATAAGCAAAAACTTCCTGCTTCTAGGAGTTCAAGGTCAATCCAGTCATAATGTTTGATTGTTTGGTTTCTTGGTAGTTCACAGTTTTTGCATACAGTTTGACAATGTAAACAGATTCAACATTTACAACAAACTATTGTTTTCTTTATTTCTAGAAGTGTTGGAAAAAACTTTATGCTACTCAATTTTTGTAAATTTGTTAGCCATATTTATTGATAGTTGCAGAGACTTTTAAAAAAGTTTACCTAACACAATGATTTCAATTAATGTTTAAAAATGTATATCAATCATACAACACACTTGAAACTGTCTATATATGCAGAAACACAAATCTTAACTAGCTATTCAAATGACCCTGTATTCACCTCTTGTATACTTTTTTCATTTTCAAAAAGTACCCTGTAGTTAAACATTTACTCTGATAGACAAATTATTGGCCTGTTATAATCAATGAATCTATACTTGCAAAATAAATCTTCTAAAGAATTACCATACTTTATTAGGAATAGCCCAGTTTATAAATTCTTAAAAAGAATCATATCATGTAATACCAAGTCCCCTCCTTGAAGTCATACTGGTTGGCCAATCAGCATTCAAATCATTGTTTTATGTTAATAATCCAAGAACATTCTTGTCAAATGCAATTTCAAATACTATAATAGTTCTCAAAAAACTTCTGCAAATTTTCCCAGGTTAAAATGTAACACAAAGTCTCTTAATAACTGTCATATAAGTTGACAAATCAGAACTTAAATTTACAATCCTCAAACCAGAATATAGATCTAGGTGATCCATATGATTAAAAACATTTAGTCATATATTACCTAAGCAACACCACTTAGTCAGTACCTAGTCCACATCTTTTTGTCAGTACTTAAGTCACAATTATTAGTCATGACCTAAGTAAGAACCTTTAGTCATTACTTGCCGCCATATATTACCTTAGCAATAACACTAAGTTAGTACATAGATTACAGCTTTTAGTCAGTAACAATTTAAGGAAGAACCTTAGTCAGTACCTAATTAATATCATTTAGTCAGTTTCAAAAAAACAACATAAAAGTTAGGAATTTTCTTAAAATATTTGGTTTGAATTGGTGAAGCTTTTGAGTAGCTTTTTCAAAAAGCTAGACTTTTTACATATTTCCCATGACAGCTATATTGGTTGACCAATCAGAAATAAAGAACCGTTTCTATGTAATTGTTTGAGAAGGAGCCTTTTTTATATCTAGATAAAAAAAGTGAAGAGCTTTCAGACTAAAGGAAAGGCAATGGACATCTTTTGGCAGGTGATATAAGATTTTTATTTAGGGACTATATGATAAAATATATAAGTAAACACTGTCAAACAGAAATGAAAAAAACTAATAAAGTGATTAAAATTAAAGACAAAAGAGCTGTGGATTGTAGACTAATACCATATTGCTTTCTACTTGCTTGCTACTTAAACTTGATACAGGTTGCTAATTAAAACATTCATCAACAATCATTAGTATAGCATAGCTACCTACTCTTCAAAAACAATTACATGTACAGCTTTGGATAAAACGATACAAATAGAAAAAAAACAAATGCGTAAAAAGGCTAATAAGAGCCTGTACTGTTCACTGCCTAATGAACCTTATTAAATATTAACACCATTTTCTGCAACAAAATCATGAGGTTTTTTTTTTGTACTTAATTCCCTTATGCACACACAATTGATTGATTGGTGATACTGTTTTCTTTTTTCTTTGGTGACAACGACTGTAAAGTCTGCCTACAATTTATGTCAAAAGATGGACAAGTAAAAATTGCCCAAATTTCAGTCTATTATTTGCTGCTATGGCCTTGACCTTTGACCAAAGAGCTCTAAAAATCAAATGGGTTCTATTTCATCAAAGGCCGTCACCAATCAGATTGTCAAAATTTCCGTCAATATACAGGTACTGTGTCAATAGGAATTTTGTTCTTAAGCTTAGTTTGGTGAAGGTTAGACATATGGCTAAAAAATATCATATGGAAACCAAAATTTTGGTCTACCAATTTCTGTTGTGGCCTTTACCTTTAACCTGTAAGCATTTGATAGCCTTATCAGTGATAACTGTACACATAATGCTTTGGTTATTCTGAAAACATCTAAACAAGTTTTTTTTTTAACTGGCAATAAAAAGAAATGCTGAAACAGAAGGTGAACTGTAAAAGTTAAACTTCTGCTCTATAAGGTATCCATTACAGAAAATTTGAAATGGTCTGCATCAATTGAATGATATACAAAAAGAGACGAACAATAGAAGAAATGTTTTCACCACTATTACTATGTCTTGGTCAACGTTAATCAATCAATCAATCAATCAAATAATAATAACCTAATGATTCATTCTTAACCATCAGTATAAAAAGGTCACTTCTTGTTTGTAGACGTAACAAACTGTAGTTTAATCTGAGTAATAAAAGAGGAGGTGAGAAAGAATTTTTCCACCTTCAAACAATAACTGTGAGTTGATCTTGACATTTGTATAATTATCAAAAAGGTTCAAATGTTAATAACACGTCCATAGAAAAAGTGTTACTTAATATCTCAAAGTTAACATTTAAATTCTAAAAAACAATTTCCACAGTTTTACATGTTATTGTTAGTGGAAATGTCAAAATTTTCATCACCAAAAATACTTTATTACAAAGTTCTTTTGTACTTGTACTATGAGGTCAAAAATAGATGGATTTTAGTCCAGCACACCAGTCTACAGCTCATTTACTGTATTACCCAGTAGGCAACCAGTCCACCAGTTCATCTGTTGTATTACCCAGCAGGCAAAAGCAAAAGGAATAAGCCCTCTTTACTAATATATATCAACACATATCTTAACACCTTCAGAACAGTAAATCTTTGATAAGGCAATAAGGACATTTTTACACATCATCTTGTCAATTGCAAGTGAAATTTTTTATATCAATCTTACCACTCTCTGCATGGCAACTTTTTCGTTTCCAGAGCTATGATTGGTCTGTGATGGTCCCACAAAAACACCCTGAGCTTCTTCATAAGTAAACTGTATTGTGTCCAGGTCAGACAGAAAATAACCAAATTGTCTGATACAACCAATTCTCAAAAAAGTCTGCAATATTAAAATAAAATTGAAACTTACTATTTTTTCCTTTGAAATCTCTAAAAGAAAATTGTACATGTAGTATGGTAAACAAAATACATATTTAGTTGTTAGTACAATTTTTTTATTTGTGTTTCCAAATATCTTCTCAAACTTTTGAAAGTTGAAACCTTTTTGTCTTACATAAAACTTGAAATGTCTGGTCAAGAAAATATATAAGTGACTCTGTATCTTGTAAGTAATCAAATTAAAATAATGACATATCTTTTCCTAACAAGAAATTGAGTTCTGTAAAATGTTTGGTTATTGTTCTTTACACTTCTATTGGACAAAGGGAAGTCACTCTAACAAATATTTCCAAATGTCCTAAAATTTTGCAAATACTAATTTACAGAATATTATTAATTCCTTTACATTGATTAACACTTTCTCAGAGATAACAAAAACTGGATATTATAACCCATAATAATCTCACAGTTTGACTACTTCTTGATAAGTAGTAATTACCAGGTTCTCTGCATATTAATATCATAAAGTATAGGTCGTCCCACTATCTGTATCACTCTGCTCAGGTCTTAATAAAATTGCATATCACGGCTTTGTGACATCAAATACGTTGACCATGCCTTAATAACTTTGACCTGGACATATCACCGTTGTCATAATGATTGAACCGACATTGATAAGTTTGACCTGAACTTATCATGTCATCTTCTGGTTTGCTTGTGAAACAGAAAACACTTGTTTCTATCATGCAAAATACACAAATACAACCCGATAAATCGATTACCTGGTTGTCTGCATATATATATATATATTGTAAAATATCAGGTGCTCGACACAATATGAAGCTATTTTGACCTTGTTTGCTGCACTCACTCGACAAAAAGCTTCATATTATGACTCGCAGCTGATATTTTACAAAACCAATATGCAGACAACCTGATAATCGATACATATCAACTGTTTTAATTGATGGAAGGAGCCAGTGTGCCCAGAGAGATTCCACGACCTTCAGCAGGAATAGTTGAATAGAGTATTGAACTATTACATAAGTAACAACTCACTCATCTGCTTGTTTTTGGCCCATCAGAGCCTTATTAAGATTTTCATCAGCATCAAAGTCACAACATTTAGTAAGTTGCTGTCTTGGTGGTATATATCCAACATTGTATGCTCAAGCATACTTGTGAAGTCTGGACGATGGAATGTTGCTGAATTGTGTTGTACTAAATTGAGAAATGATAGCTATACAACCTTACAATTGACTGAATCACACGAAAGTTAATGAATGGAAAGAACTGCATACATCTGGATCTTAAGTGAATAAACATTTTGACCTTTGAACTTTAAACACAGTGATCATACCTCCTGAACTTCATTCAGCTGTCCTCTCCTTTTCACAGAAAATTCTATGTTGTTATGAACCTCTGCTAGGGGAGAGAACTGACACAGACTAACATCCTCCATCAGAGGTATCACCTGTTTCCAATCAGATTCTTCTACCACTTTTAGAACTTCTTTTAAATCATCAATCCAACAATTATCTAAAATTATATATTAAACAAATATTATCTTTTTAGAATGTATTTGAATTATTTTCATATTAAACACAACATTGAATGTGTATGTAGTAAGTTTCAAGCTGCAAGTGATTTATAAATGATGCATGAATTGGAAATCAACACTACATGAGAATCATTTGTAGAGGGTCTTACAATCATCAATCTTCTGAAGTTTAGGATTTATTTTTTTTAAATCTGGACAATCAGAATCAATTTTCATTCAATCACAAGAGAATGAGGAGTTTTTATGAAAAACCTTCTATGCAATAATTCCTTTCAATTTTGGTTTAAATTGGACAAGTATTTTTAGAGAAGATGGAAATGTGATTTTCCAGCGGGTTTTCAAGAACACTATGTACCACCAAAACCATCAAGTGAATTTTTTATAGAGTATATAGTCAAGTGCTCATTCTCCTCTATCACATGAAAATGCTCATTCTCCTCTCCTACAAGAAAATGCTCATTTTCCCCTTTTAAAAGAAAATGCTCATTCTCCTCTCCTACAAGAAAATGCTAATTCTCCCATCCTATATGAAAATGCTAATTCTCCCTTCCTATAAGAACATGATCATTCTCCCATCCTGCAAGAACATGCTCATTCTCCCCTTCTACAAGAAAATGCTCATTCTCTCCTCCTATAAGAACATGTTCATTCTCCCCTCCTCCAAGAACATGCTCATTCTCCCATCCTCCAAGAAAATGCTCATTCTCCCCTCCTCCATGAAAATGCTCATTCTCCCCTCCTACATAAAAATGCTCATTCTCCTTATAGAATTATTCTTGTAAAACACTTACCATTATCAACCAAGAGGCTTTCTTTTGGTAAAATATTCAGTAAAATTGACAATCTGTGCCACAGTGACTGGGAACTCTACAAAAGTAAATGATTAAAAATTGTAACAGAAAAACTTAAAATGTCTACTTATAAAAACTGTGAACAAGGGAAATTGTCTGGATTGCATCTACTATCTATAAGGTATATGTTAACATTTTTGTGACTTTTATTGAAGTAAGACAAAAGCTTTAATTTGCACAACTTAGTTGTTTAATTGGAAAACAGGGCAGTTACAAAGTTAGAAAAGTTTTTAGTTTTGTAAAATGTGATTCAGTTTTATTCTGCCTTCAATTAAAAAAAGAACAACTTGTATGAAAAAACATATAACTAAACCCCAAAGTAAATCTAAATATCATTTCCAACATTTCTTATCTTGAGATCAATTTCAGGTTTTAATCGAATCTTCTAAATTCTAAACATATATTATCTTTAAACTAAAAGTTAGGATCTTCACCTACTTAAAATGACTATCAAATCTTACGACATCAATGTTTTTTTGAATTTTTTTATTATTCTTTATATCATTTTCCCAGTAAAGATAATCAATAATAAAAAATCTGTTTTTACTATTCTTTATATTATTTTTCCAATAAAGATTATCTGTAAGGAACTATCTACAATATGTCACAGAATAGACTAGATAACACAGTCATGACAGATTAAATCAATATGTAAATTACAAAACAATAGCTGTACATGATTCAAATACAAATATTTCAAATATTAACATTATATAACACAGCTATCAATGAATGATAAGAATTGTTAAACATCATTATACTCAGAGAGTGTTGTGCATTGTTTTTCAGATCAATACAAACCGACATCAAGGAATCTTTTAGTCAAATTGTTGTAGGATGAAAGATATGGAATGTGAGAATAGGGACAAAAGCTGAATTAGATACAACAGTCAAATCAAAATACCAAACCTAGGAATAACTGACTGAAATGAGGGTTATCAATTTGAACTTGCCTTTACCCATACTAACATTGGTTATAGTTTAAAGTAGTCTGATACGTAATTAACATGTATTTCTATCAATTTCTTGACAAGTAGGGTACTACAGCCTGTTGATACTTATATTTTGAATTGCACAAGATCATGCTTATAACATCTTTACACTTAATCCCTTGGAGGTTTACTGATTGACAATTTAGTCTTGGAAAACCTAGTTGATTTATTAGTTCAAATTAGGCTTTGAACTATCACTTAGTTACTGTGAGATCGGTACTTTGTGCGAGTGTCCTTTGTCTTTCTGTTATTTGTGTTTTGTGCTTGGTACCAATCTGATGCATCAAGCCAACACTGATTTTGACAATTTGTTCTTAAGATGTGCTTTTACACACACCACTATCCAAGGTGAGAGGGAGAGTAGAGTCCTTACAACAAAGTTTATCCACACCATATTCTTAATGTGCCTGTCTCAAGTCAGGAGCCCGATATCCAGTGGTTGTCATTGGTTGCTATCTGTTAAACTTGTTTTTCACTTATTCTTTTTAGCATATATAAGGCTGTTGGTTTTCTTTTTTGAACTGTTTCATATTTTGTCAAGCCGGACCTTTAATAGCTTACTAAATGTATATGGTATTGGGATTTGCTCATTGCTGATGGACATATTGGGACCTGCAGTTGTTTACATCCTCAATCTTTGGTCTCTGGTGGATAGTTGTCTCTGGTGGATAGTTGTCTCTGGTGGATAGTGGTCTCTGGTGGACAGTGGTCTCTGGTGGATAGTTGTCGCTGGTGGATAGTGGTCTCTGGTGGATAGTGGTCTCTGGTGGATAGCTGTTTCTGGTGGATAGCTGTCTCTGGTGGATAGTTATCTCTGGTGGATAGTGGTCTCTGGTGGATAGTGGTCTCTGGTGGATAGTGGTCTCTGGTGGATAGCTGTCTCTGGTGGATAGTTGTCTCTGGTGGATAGTTGTCTCTGGTGGATAGTTGTCTCTGGTGGATAGTTGTATAGTTGTCTCTGGAGGATAGTTGTCTCACTGGCGATCAAACTACATCTTATTATTTATATTATTGTTGCATTAGAAGTGTTTCTGATTGTAAGCCACTGACCATGTGAAGAAGCTTTCTGGGTAAAATTGTACCTTACAAATATCGACGAAGGTCTCATATGAAGGTTTTTTAATAATTCATTTACTGTAAATTTTGAACTAATGTGTGAATTCATCATTGTGAATCTTTAACAACAGACAATCATGCAAGACTAATTTATGCAATCACTGATTTTGTAGCAAAATATTATGAACAAAAATTAAACTGTGAGTATTGATTATTGCAACGTTCCTCCTGTAGAATTTTGCATAAAAAAACCAACATAACAATAATTCTTTCTGAATACTCAATAAATCAGATGGGGTCATCATATTAAAGTATAACTGCTAATGGTATTGTAAGAAAATAAATTGAAAGATTGTGATTACATCATTCTGAGGATCACTGTTATAGAATTAAGACATTTTTATTTTGGTTTTATGTAGATTTGAGAAAGTTTATATTCTTTCTTTAAGATTAAACAAATCTATGGAATATTTATGCCTTTTGGGAAAACAAATTTTGTGGTTTATATGATCATGAAATCCCCAAATATAGATTGCCAACGAAAAATTTCATATTTTCTTAACATGCTCCTTTCCATTATGATGCTCAAAATTTACACAGGAAAACAATGTATATGTGAACTTCCATTTTTTTCTGCTAGAACAGATGTCGTGAATATACAAATACATTTGCATACAGAAATAACAACTTTTGCCTCAGCATGACTAGATAACTATTGTTCATATAGATTTTTTATTTGAAGTTTTTATCCATAAAAGACATCAATTTATTTCCTGCTTAGGTCACCTGAAAATTTTAACATGTTTTTTTATCAATAAAGAAATTAAGCTTATGGATGATTTGTCTCTTCCTTTTTGTCACATCGATCACAGCACTTAGAAGCGGATAATTATGAAATAATAACGGCGTTTATTTTCAAATGATGTTTGATCGCATTAATGTTTTTACGCTACATTATGCCATGCAAACCTCATCAAGGTATATAAATGCATGAAAAAAAGTTATGAATGTTAAAATTTCAAGGAATAAATATATCTCATAAGTTAAAGAAAGCCATCCTCATTTCCTCAAGAAAATTTTATCTATGATCTTCAAAAAATAAAGCTTTGGAAAACAGTTAGAAAAGCTTAGTTATGGCAATTTACACAGATAGACAGGAAGAATATCCAATTATACTTTAAGCCTTTGACTAAGTTCAAAAAGGTATAAAATATTGAATTTGGAATCTGACAAGAGGTTGTTTGTTTTTTCATGGTAATAAATACTTTACATAGTATCTACATTCATTCATTTACTTCTAATCTTGCTCCACTATGCTTAAAATATGATAATATTTTCAAAAATGGAACAATTAATACTAAGATCCCATTCACACTTGGACATTTGATCGATTTAAGCTATATCGATTCTTTTTAGATCAATTTAAGTGAAGTCCAATGTGAACCCTTTGAATGGATCTTGAATCGATCTAAACTAAAACACCAAAGGAGGTAGTTAAGTTTGAATTGATCTAAAGTGAACAGATCTTACTTCAAATGTAAACGCAGCAAGCAATCTAAACTAGAACGATTGAATCAAAAATAATCTGTGCGCATGTATGGCTGCAAAACTACACATGCAATTTAATACAAAATGGATGACCAACATAAAAGGGCTGATACATGGACCCATGAGGAAATAGGCCTTTTGATCGAATTATGACGAGATGAAAGGGTATCATAAACTTTTGAAATATGTGTCTTCTTTTCTTCTATTGTTTGTCATTTCAGGAACCGCAGCATTTCACGATGTTGTAACTTCTTTGCTAAAGTTTTTTGTTTGAAAATTAACAAAAACTGTTACAACACCAGTATCAACATCTGAACTTGTAATTCATGTGAAACAATAACTTCATCCATTATTTTTTTGCAAGCATGTGTATCAACACATTAATTTGATTAATTATTTCTATTTATACACAGTGTTTACAGTTTCACAGGTTATTAGGTCAGATTAATTGCATGTTTACTTGTAGTGTGAACACAGTAGTTCAGATTAGACATTGATTCAAAAAATGCTTGTGTGAATGGGATCTTAGTTAAATAATATCACTTTGGAATTTCAGCTGTATTCATCCTTATTTACCTTTGTTTACCTGTGATTAAATGTGCCCAGATGAAATGAAGTTATGTGGAAATGAAACAATTGCTTAAAATTCATGTAAAACTAACTTCTGTAAATGTAGTTATTTTGTACTATTTTCATTCTGAAATCCAAGCACGGTTTAAATGGTTTGTAATTTCTAAGTCAATTTACTGTAATGCAACATTAAAATTCAATATGAATAAAAGGAGATAAGCAGAATACATTAAATCTCTGCAGTACACAATAAATGCTCCAACCTCAGACCTTGGCTTTATCAAGAATATCAATTTCCCCCATTATTTGAATTCTAAAATTTGGAATTTAATTGTGTATTTTTAGTATTTAGTACTTGTCAGAAATGATAAAAGTAGAAATTCCAAGGAATAGAACAAGGCAAGTGAATTCAGAGGATGTTTGAACTCGTGTAACATGACCTCTACTGCACTTTTGGGTCTGACAATTCTGAATAATGAAATAAATAAAGTAAAAGTAATATTTCCAAACTTTGAATTGATATCATTGGATGGATACCACTAGTGGTGATAATTTACTGTATCATTGGATGGATACCACTAGTGGTGATAATTTACTGTATCATTGGATGGATACCACTAGTGGTGATATTTTACTGTATCATTGGATGGATACCACTAGTGGTGATATTTTACTGTATCATTGGATGGATACCACTACTATTACTGTATCATTGGATGGATACCACTACTATTACTGTATCATTGGATGGATACCACTACTATTACTGTATCATTGGATGGATACCACTACTGGTGATATATTACTGTATCATTGGATGGATACCACTACTGGTGATATATTACTGTATCATTGGATGGATACCACTAGTGGTGATATATTACTGTATCATTGGATGGATACCACTAGTGGTGATATATTACTGTATCATTGGATGGATACCACTAGTGGTGATATATTACTGTATCATTGGATGGATACCACTAGTGGTGATATATTACTCCTAAGAGTATTAAGTGCCCAGATCCTCATGAAAATAAGTGACAAAATATGAATAAGATACAGAAATAAACCAGATGTGTTTACTTTACTATCACTTGGGTCAATACCCTGCTGTTTGAGTGTTATTTCCTCATGATATCATCTCTCTAGTAGTCAATGTTAGTAAATACGTTTTTCTAGTAGCTAAAGAGAAGTAACTCTTCCATTTTTTTGTTCTTATATATTGGTTGGACATTTTACTCAAATGATTGCTGTGTACTCTTTGGGAAGGAGGAGCATCTGTTATAGATACTTTTCTTCAGGAATTTCATATTTCAAACCATGTCAGGGACAAAAACTTCCAAAATTTTATATATGATGACACCATTTCTTAGTTGATGGCATATGCATGATGTAAAATGTAAATACAGAGGGCAAAACTTTTTTTTAAGAAAATTTTAAATACATGATTGTGAATGTTACTAAACATTCAAAAAAAGAACTTACACCATGGTAGACATTTACCTTAATTAAAGAATACATCATACATTAAGATGTTGATTTTTGGCTATTCCAACAATACTGGTTCAAACAACATTATGATGTTACAATTGTGACAGAGTCATCATAAGCAACACTCTTTCTGAATGTTTTGTATTTAAATCCTACTGTCAAACATTTTTTATTTATATTCTTGAGTTGTGATTTAATCTCAAACCATGTTATATTCTTTAAAATCAGTTGTTATTGATTCCATATCATGATATTGGATATCTTGAACAAGAACATAGAAGAGAGTATGTCTTTGTTTGTTTAAGTCTTGTTTGTTAGCTTTTTCATTGATGTATACCCCATAATTTCTTTACTCATGACTGTATTGTATGAAATCTGTTTAAACTTTCTTGGTATTGGAGATTTTTTAAACATTGAATAGTTATTGAACTTTAATTTGATTTTATTTAGCTTTTCACTTCTGAAATATCTTCATGCAAAATTATCAGGGGTATCTTCCAATGTTCTGACAACTCAATCATTTCTTTGTTCCTTACGAAAAATCTTTAATTGTGTGTGTGTGTCAGTTTAGGTAAAGTCCAATTATTTCATTGCAATCAATAATATATTTTAAGACTTGGCTTTATTGTACAACATTTATACAATGCTTATAACCTTATGATACGAAAAAACGTTGAACCATAGATAAGTAAAATTATGTTATATTTCTATTCAACATATCAATCGTTCAGGAGTAGTTTGTATAAAATTTTGTTCTTTTAAATAAACTTGGAATCCTTCTCAAAATATATATACCCGTATGTATAAATTCTTGTCATGCATTATAATACTACATATAATTAAAGTTTTACCTGGAATAATATATTAATATATAATAATGCACACAATGTCATGCAATGTATATGACACTCATAAATTTATTAGACATAGATGAAAAACCCATGTTCAGTGGGTAAAATTAAAGTCAATAAACTGTTATCACAGAGATATGTCTCGCCTTTTTATAATTTTGATAATGCAAATGTTGAAATTAAAATAGCAATACTTTAACATGAAAGTTATGCAAATATTCAAAGTTGATGAACCATGACTGAAGGTACATGGCTAAACAATCTCCATGGAATGAGATGTGCCAATGCGAATACAACTGCATACCAAATACTATTGACTTATTATAAGTCGTTCCCTTTAAACAAACCTAAACACAAACATTAACTTGTAAACTATGTAAAAGTTTCAGGGGTGGGGCTATATAATCTCCATGGAAATGATACTTTCAAATGCCAATAAATTTGGATACCAAATATCATTGACTTAACATTAGCAGTTCATCTTAAACTGATCTAATCACAAACTAATACATGTAAACTAAGCAAAACTTTCAAAGTAAATAGACCATGACTGAGGGGGCAGGGCCAAATATTCTCCATGGAAATGAGATGTGCTAATGCTTATACAACTGAACACCAATTAACATTGGCCTACCACTAATGGTTCCCCTTGAACTGACCTAATCACAAACTAATACATGTAAACTTAGAAAAATTTTCAAAGTCTATAGACCATGACTAAGGGGCCGGAGCCTAATGGAAATGAGATATGCCAATGCTTATACAACTACATACCAAATATCATTGACCTAACACTAGTGGTTCCCCATAAATTGACCTAATCACAAACTAATACATGTAAACTATGAAAAGTTTCAAAGTCAATAGACTTTGACTGAGGGGGCTGGGCCAAATAATCTCCGTGGTAATGAGATGTGCCAATGCTAATACAACTGCATACCAAATATCATTGACCTACCACTAGTGGTTCACCATGAACTAGACCTAATCACAAACTTATACAATGTTGACGCCTTCGCCGGAAACAGCATACCTATGTCTCGCTTTTTGACTCCATCAAGGATAGACAAAAAGTATCGTTAAGCAAGGTGTGACTGCCCAGCAGATCTGATAATTGCTTACATGGTACAACTCAACATTATAGAGAGGGTCTAGATTATAGAGAGAGTCTAGACCAAATAACTAATCATTCTTAATATAGAATCTGAGTAATATGTTATGAAAGTTATGAACAGACAAACAGACAAATGAAGGGACTAACAGATTGCCAAGGTTGAAGCAGTATACCACCCAATTCCATACATGAGGTTTTAACAATACAAAGATGATTTTTTACAGTAGCTTACCTGAGCACAAGTAGTGATAACACCAGTATTACATCTCATCCAGTCACTCATCACCTTGACAACAGGTAACAGTCCTTCCTGCTGTATGATATCTAGAGTGTACTGTAACTGACGATGTTCATCTTCAGACCTGTAAGAAATTATTTATAGAATAACATCATGTTAAACCTGTGATATAGAGAACAACAAATAATAAGTAAAATATCACATATATTAAAGTAGGAATAGAAAATTATATGACAAAATACACTAAAGAATTCATGTTTCAACATGACCTTTTAAGATATGACCTCAAGTTATTTGTATTTAACTAATAAAAAATGTTTGCTAGGGGTTTAGTAGAACTAGAAAGAACTAAAAAAGTACTGATATATTGGCATTGGGACTTGCATCAATGAGGTACATATATTAGCAACCAATCTATCAGTTTTAAGATGCAAAGTGTAAATTACTTCCCCATTATTTCCATCACTCCCGTATATTTTTTACTGAGGGCTGTTCCATCAAAATATACATGGGACCAAGGGAAGGCACTTTGACATCTCATCTATGAGTGGGTGTTTTTGTTCAGTGAAATTGTAAGGGAATTTCTAAAATAGACTTTATAGATGGTTACTCATTTTTAAAGTGCCTTCCCTGAGTACCATGTATGTTATAATGGAACAGCCATGAGACATTGTATTGTTAGTAAAACAAACCTTTCTACAGACTCTGTTTCACTACTCTGATCCTCTGCCTCTGTAGCAGACTGTTCTGTAATATAAATCATTGGACATGTAGAACATTACCACTGACAATCTCTATCACAACTTTCATTATGATTCTCTAATCGACACTGTTGAATACTGTTTAAGCAATGTTTTATTCATAACAATATGCACAAATACTTCTGCAGTAAATTTAAATTTTTGGACTTCCTTATATTTTTTCCTACAAGTAAGGCATAAATATACATTGTAACAAAATGTCTTATGAAATTCAGTATCAAAACCATGTTAGTTTGAGATTTTTGGCTTTCAGCAAGTTCAATTTATATAGTTATTGCCTCTGTGTGAGGTAAACACATTGTTAACAGTAAGTCAATCTGACAGAATTATACAGACTCAGGAACAGTCTAGGGATTGTATACTGAAAATTCAGAATTTAACAATTGCATTTATTACTGGAAATCTCTGATGACTATTAAAAAAAAATTCAAACTTGATCTGTGTTTTGTGGTAATAAGCATTGTGTATAAGTTTCATAACATTTGGTTGAGGCTAACTTAAGTTAGAGAACGGAAACAAAAAATTAAGCAATTTTTCCATTTGTAAAGGGCTCTAGAACTGTTAAAGTGACACCACCAAAATTCAAAATTGATCTGTATTTTGTGGTAATAAGCATTGTGTATAAGTTTCATAACATTTGGTTGAGGCAAACTAAAGTTAGAGAATGGAAATGAAAAATTCAGCAATTTTTCCATTTGTAAAGGGCTCTAGAACTGTTAAAGTGATGCCACAATAATTCAAATTTGATCTGTGTTTTGTGGTAATAAGCATTGTGTATAAGTTTCATAACATTTGGTTGAGGCTAACTTAAGTTAGAGAACGGAAACGAAAAAATTCAGCAATTTTTCCATTTGTAAACGGGCATAACTCTAGAGCTATTAAAGAGACACCACCAAAATTCAAACTTGATCTTTATTTTGTGGTAATAAGCATTGTTTATAAGTTTCATAACATTTGGTTGAGGCAAACTAAAGTTAGAGAATGGAAACAAAAATTCAGCAATTTTTCCATTAGTAAAGGGGCATAACTCTAGACATTTAAAGTGATGCCACCAAAATTCAAACTTGATCTGTGTTTTGTGGTAATAAGCATTGTGTATAAGTTTCATAACATTTGGTTGAGGCAAACTAAAGTTAGAGAACGGAAACCAACTTTGGGACGTACGTACAGACGGACAAGGGTAAAACTTAATGCCCCCTCCGCTACGGCGGAGGCATAAATAACATCAAATGACTATTGGAGCATGAAAATGAGGTCAAGGATAGGTCTCATTGACAGACTGACAAGATCTCATTATAATTAATAACTGCACAAGGTGAAAAAAGAGATAAGATATAAAAGTATTTGTAGTATATAACACCATCACAGAGACAACAAGTTAAACTGTGAGTCATTGCTCACCAATGATACCCCAGCAATAAGTATTTGGTAAACAGAAAGTTATTGAGAGATAAATGAGAAAACACATCACATGACATGCTAACATGAAGCTTGAGTTCACATTTTAAAAAGCCTTGATTCCCAGTTCCTGAGAAAAATGTGACAAACATTTTATGGGATGGACGAATGGACAGACAGTTACACAAACAGAATGACCAATCGAAATACAGACAGTGGAAGGACAACATAGTACAATAAGTTCAACTTATACTTAAACACAAACCTGCATCTGTAGGCATAATACTAGCTTCAGTGTCTGTTTCTATCACAAAGTTAGCCATCTTGCTGGTAATCTCAGCTACATGGTGGGCTTCAGATGTGGAGGCAAATCCTACAATAATACATCTAACACATTATTTTAAGAAAATAGTGTTCCTCTACAAGGACTGTCTTGATAAATAAACTTAATTTTTGATATATTAAGAATAAAATCAGGAGTTTAAATCATGAACATTAACAATTATTGACTGGATGCATCTCAAACTTTTACTTCTGTTAGTGAGACAATAAATATAACTCTGTAATTGTTATCTATTCCTTATAGTCATTGTACATTACTGTAAGTTCAGAAATTATTGCGATGTTTTTATTATTGCGAAAAATGCGACAGGGTTATCCTACAATAATACATCTGACACGTTATTTTAAGAAAATAGTGTTCCTCTACAAGGACTGTCTTGATAAATAAACTTAATTTTTGATATGTTAAGAATAAAATCAGGAGTTTAAATCATGAACATTAACAATTATTGACTGGATGCATCTCAAACTTTTACTTCTGTTAGTGAGACAATAAATATAACTCTGTAATTGTTATCTATTCCTTATAGTCATTGTACATTACTGTAAGTTCAGAAATTATTGCGATGTTTTTATTATTGCGAAAAATGCGACAGGGTTATAATCGCAATAATTCAAACTTGCATTTTGAAATTTTTTATATGAATTAAACAGGATTTTTCTCAATATAGCAAAAATTAAAATCGCGTTTTAGTCTAAAATGACAAAATCGCAATAATAAATGCACTCAATAATTTCTGAATTTACAGTAACCATTTACGATCCATTATTTTTTATCATATAACTATAATTGATATCTACTCATAATTGAAGACATGATAACATCAAGATGATCAATTTGTTATGTTGCTATGTCTTGGATATATTTTTTATAGCATTGTGACCTAATTTTTACTTCACCAAAACAGATAGTTGGGATTTAGGGAAACCTTCATATTCAGATCTATCAACTCACTTTACTTTAAAAATGTAATTATGTATATACAAACCTGGAGGAACAGATACTTGTTTCCTGCCTTGTATCACATCTTTGCATGTTTCATATTCCTCAATGTCTTTCTCAAATGAGGAATCAGCTAGTGAAGAAAATTTAAAATTCTGTCCAAGAAAACTCATTGAGGATGAAAACAATTCTGAAGAAAAATGAGCAAGGTTATCACGGTCTACTGATTTTAGCCATGGGTTCACCTTAGAGCTAGCATCGGTTTTAGATGAAGGTCTAGGAGATTTGCTGTCAGTATTTTGTGAGCTATCACTGGCATTACTTCTCTCCTCAATAGTTTGTAGTTTATTTTTAACCAAGATTTTTCCTTCATTAGAAAGGCCAGGTTCTAGTTCTTGACTGTCCATGAGGTGATCAGACATGTCCGAGTCTGAATCATTGGTAAAAAATCCAACAAATTCTTCTTCCTCTTCAGATTCTTCTGACATGAAATCTTCAGGTAAGTCATCACCTCCTGAAATGTCAACAAAAATATCACTAAATAATTATTTCAGCAAACAATTATTTGTCCATATTAGATAAATGTAAACACAGAAAATACGGTAACTAGGTGAAATAAAACATTTCTTTAATCCCTTTAACCACAAGTTCTTATTCTAACAATTCTTTAAACTGTATGATCTTGGTTTGATCTTTTGATTTGTTCTGTAATTATTACAAGTAAAAACCAAGTGGTCTAAGTAGTTTTTCTACTATATCTTTAACCTGTCAACACTGAGGTTCTGAGTTTGGAACTAAGCACATGGCAGGTGAGCTCAACTCCAATCTTAATCTACTAGGATTGTCAGTTTTCCAGTTTTCCAGTTCAAGGTTGTGGATCTCTCCGGCCACTTCAACTTCCTCCATCAATAAAAACTGACTGCCACAATATAGCCAATAGTGCTGAAAGTGGCGTTAAACGCCAACAATCAATCACAAGTAAAATCTGTTCAAACCTCAGGATGTTCTACTTGGAAAAATGTTCAATTGATTGATATATTAATAAAAAGATGCGAGTCATTATAATAGCAATATGAGACTTGAATATCTACAATACTTTACAAAATCTAGTATTTGAAACTTTGCTACTCTAATGATGCAGGAAAAGGCATTTCAACTTTTAAAAATTAAACCAATGTTGACTGATTATTATTTGCTTTACATCCATTGTTAAATAGTTCATGAATATTCAGGTCAATTATCAAATCATTGTGTTCAATCCCAGTACAATGAGAAAAAAACATAAAGAGTTAATATAAGAGGTTAGATTATCCAGTTATAAAACTTTTTTGTACAGCTTTAGAGTTTAGAAATGCCTATAGAGAATATCAAATATGGAGAAGAAATTCTTATGTACCTGTTCTTATTTCTTTTGATATCACTATTTTAGTCTCTTAGGCCAACTAAAATTAATTAGATTTTCATCCAAATTTTTGAAAAAAATGGGGCGATGGGTGGATTTTATTTTTTTATTTTTTATTTCCCCTGAAACTCCTTTACAATGAGTTCTTCATTAGCAAGGGTAATAATAAGCTTATGTCATGTTTATATAAGGAATTCTACATAATTTTTCAAATTATTAAATAAATATTTCTGATAGGCAACGACTGTTCTGCATGTAATTGCCGCTTTAGAAACCTATTTTAAGTAAATAGCAAAAACAAGGAGAAATGCTCTCTTTTAGACTACCTACATCAAATATATTTTGCTTTCTAAGATATGGTTTGTACAGGGGCGGATCTGGCCATTTGTAAAAAGGGGGGTTCCAACTATGTGTCCCCATTCAAAAGCATTGATCGTCAAAAAAGGGGGAGTTCCTACCCCCGAAATCCGCCACTGTTGTAGTGCCCATGAAATGAAGTGTATGCAACACAAGTATTTTGAGTACATATAGTGAAATGAAAACTCAAACTGTGTTGAAAATACTAGGGTTGATGCTTTTAAGATTCTTATGGAAGGTGCAAATTGTTTTTATTTTCAATATTAAATTACAATGTAAAACATGCACTTAACCAAAAGAAAGAAGTTGTTTAATGACTCTATTGAGGGGCTGGGGACAGAAAGTGTTTGATGTTTGTCAACAAAATAACGACAGCCTTGGGGTAAATCTAAGAGCTAATCCTTGCTTTAATACATTTTGTACGTTGCCCGAATTCCTGTACTCAAAAATATATACAGCTATAAATCGCACATTTTCGTGCTTGTGTCAATTTCTTCATTCCAGTCATGTTTTTTGTACCAATGTGTTCCACGATTCTAGCGTTTTGATATCATTTTCACAGTACATATTTCCTGGCACAAAGTCATTGTTTAAATAAAGAAATCCCAGTTTTCAAATCACTGAAATTTGTGCCATACCGCGATTTGCGTTCTTGGACACCGCCTGTTACTCGTAACCCGATTATTTCATGTTCTTCCCATTCTCAGTAGATACTGTTGTCACATAGAGCAGCAGAATATGTCGACTTAATTATTTTGGTTAAATTACTCAAAGAAATATGAAAACCGAAATTTGCAAAAGGAAGTTTTGAATGAAACTAAACTATCGACGGTTACCGGTAACAGAAATGAACAAAATTCGGAAATCGTAAATTTTCATAAATAAAAAAAATCGGGGCAGGACAATTTCAGAGGGCTGGCGGGGATGAAAATCTATCAATTATTTTTAATTGGCCTTATCTAACAAATTAAAACTAGAGGCTCTAAAGAGCCTCACCTGCCATGTTTCTAAAGAGCTTGTGTCGCTCACCTAGGTCTATGTGCATAATCAACAATAGACACTCTCCAACATTGTAGACAAAAATAGAAGTCATGACAAAAATTTCTTTTTTGTCGATCTTGTATTGCTGATCATTTTGTCTGTTTAGTTTCTATCTATCTACTTTAGTTTTTGCTCAAAACACAAAAGAGGGTAAAAAAATCCTCATTTAAGGGCAATCACTTCTATGAAGAGTGACAATCTACTTAAAAAAAATTTCCCTATTGTCTAAAATGTAGATTTTGGCTTGCTGATCATTTTTGCTTATTTAAGTTTCTATCTACCTATCTATTATAATTTTTCAGATATAAGGCAAAAATGCAAAATATTGGTAAAAATCGTCATCAAAGGGCAATAACTCTAATTAGGAGTTGACTGATGATTTCTAACATGAACACTTATTCAGAGATCTTGTTTTGCTGATCATTTATGCAACTTACAAGTTTCTCTCTATCTATTTTAACCTCAAAGAACAATTGGTAGAGCTCAACATTCTGAACATTTTTGCCTTGTCAGGTTTCCTTTATTAATAAATGTTTTCAAAATAATAGACAAAACTTTTTTCTCTGCTTTCAAAATCTTTCTTTTAACCCGTCGACCTGGAACTTATTACTTATTTGTAATATTAATTATGTTCTATTTCTAGCCATGTTGGCCATCTTGGTTGGCAGACGGGTCATTGGACACATTTTTTAAACCAAATACCCTAATGATGATTATGGCCAAGTTTGGTCAAATTTGGACCAATAGTTTCAGAGAAGATTTTTGTAAAAGTTAACGGATTACGATGACGGACGCCAAGTGATGAGAAAAGGTCACTTGGCCCTTTGGGTCAGGTGAGCTAAAAAGGAAGGATAACAAAATTTTACATCTTTCATCATACCTTCACTGAGATCAGACATATCAGAAAGATCAGAACTATCACTACTATCATTTCTTGCACGTCTACGCCTTCTTTTATAACTTTTTGGTTTTGACTGTCGAGATTTCTGAAAATATATTTTAAAGAATGTATAAAATAACAATTTGCTCTGTTAAAATGCTGTTAAGTAGCAGGCAAAAGTAAAATTGATATCATATGTGTAGATCTAAACTGATTGTTTTCATTGTTAATATATAAAACCAATAAAGTATTTTTTTTTAACATATAAACTTATTTTTACATATTATGTATTATAAACAAATTATTACATACATATTTTTTTCTGATCAGTTCATTGAATGTTATATTTGTTTATTCAGTACCCATGGGAACATGCTCAAATTGAGTGAAGGATGTTGTAGGTTTAAATCAAGTACAGGTCAATACAAACTTTCAAATTGGAATTCTGTGCCAAGCATGTGGCATTCAGGAGTAAAATCAAAGGCTGGTTGGCACAGAGTCAGAATAATGTGTGCATGTAGGATGACATGTCTTTTATGGAACTGTTTAGTGAGAGTAAGCACATTAAAAGACTGGCTCAACATATCAGTCTAGTCTAAAGCAGGGTATATTCATATCTCATTTTCATGTAATGATTTTAAATATTCATGTTATATTTGCCATCGAAGGTAAGGCATCCATCAAAATACAACACAATTTTTTTGAATATCAGAAACATACCTTTTCTGAGAGAACTTTATTGTCATCTGTGTCTTGTTGACTTAATTCTACTTTGTTTTCTCCATTTTTGTTAATATGTTGATCTGGTTCGGGATCAGAGGTCAAGCCATTACAAAGGTTATCATCTGACATATCATCATCTTGAAGAAAAGGATAAAGTATTAAAATAAAGATTAGACTTTCTCATCCTGAAGAAAAAGATAAAGCATTAAATAAAGGATTAGACTTTCTCTTCTAAAATTCAAAGGGAAACTTTCACATCTTATAACCATTTCATATACCACAGAAAAATCACAAATCATTTTCATTACACAATCGCTTTTTTTTTAGCGTCAAATGTTGGCCTCATTGTGCTTTGGGGAAAAGGTAAAGTACTACAAGGCTTGTTCCTTTGTATTTGATTTTGTCAAATTTGTGTAGAGATTTTTTGTTGCAAGTTAATCATATTCATTCTTTTGTACTCCATTGACAGTTTGTCTCTTGTGCTGTGTGGAGGCCATAGAAAGTTTCCTTCTGCTTGAGGTGTATAATATTATATTTCTACAGTTACAGCATGTCTTTTCTTGACATGACATCTTTTATGTGCTCTTTCAATCTGTAGGCTTTAAAAAATGTTATGTCGTCCATCAGCAGCTTAGTTATATTTTAATGTATAACATGGTTGTCCAAATACAGAAAGTTAAAAGCCTCGTTACGGTTTTGAAATGAAGAACAGTAAAGAAAGGGCTATTTCTCTGCTTTATATGGTATTTGACAAGTATGTGCACTTACATTATTTCATGAATCCATAAATTATTTCTTAATCCATTCTTTTGTTTTCATTTCAATCAAGCATTTTAAGAGGATTGCTACACAGATGGCATTAAATGGGTAAAGCTTTTCGACAATGTTTTTTTTCTAACTAGAAATCCTCTTAAGACTTTATCAAATATTGGAATAGCATATAACTTCTTTCTCTAGTCTTCAAACTCGGATAGTTTTATAAGCAAGTGGTTTAAACAAAACATTCAGTACCTTCCTGTTCTTCAATATGACCAAGTATTTTATTTGGGTTTTCCATGTCATATAGTGATGCCTGAAGTCTGATCACCACATGGTTAAGGATGTGTGAAAATAAAGCTAAAAGGAAAGCTGTTGCTGCAGTCGTCTGTCCTGAACCTACAGTTTAAAGAAAAATTAACTCATTTGTCATTTAAAATAAGATTCATAAAACTATTTTTATATCTTGAACTTTTTGTTTTTTAAATCAAACTTTGATGTCAAGGTTTCTAACATATATAGTTTTAAAGGTAACTGAATTTTAGTTCATGTTGAAGACTCAAATACAAAAGGAAAATCTAAATTAGTCTAAATGATATTTTATGGTATGTTATAGTTTTAAACAATAAAAGGTAAAGGTTAAAAGCAATTTGTTTTGAGCCAGTGTTCATACTACTTTTGTTCAAATTAATTTCTACAGTTCTAATGTAGATATATTTCTCAGTAACAAACCTTTTAGCTGAAGAAGATATACGGTAGACATACAAATAATGACTATTTTAAATACAATGTCATCATCCATGAAATAAGTATTCTCCTCCCTCTTGTCATCCTCTGTATTCACCTCATAAAACATACATAGATTGAATTTCTGTAGAGTAGACTGGCACTTCTCTTGTAAATCAGCTGGTTTCATTCTAAAATATAAAACATAAATAAATCTCAGAAGAAATATTTCCACTTTTCTTATACATATCCTGGTTTAGTTCTTAAATATTAAACAGAGTATAAAGTAAAATGGAAAATTTTCTTGAGGGGTTTAATTTTTATTATTTCAATATAAAGATAAAAGCATGGAAGTATTCCCTCGAGTAAATTTGACCATTCATTTATGTTTTGCATCTACCTATAACATACAGGAAAATAAGCATAATACTAGTTCAAAATCAATAAACTTACTCTTTGCCTGTAGCATGAAATGCACCAATCAGCTGTAGAAACTGGATTAGAAACATCTTAGTGTCATGTACTCTGTAATGAAGAAAATCATAGTAGTTTTAAATTATCAAAGGTATGAACTATTAAAAATATAAATCCAGAAGATTAATAAGTTCTTATATAAGTTATATAAAAAATTAGAGATCTCAAGAACTATAGTAAATTATGTATTTTTACTAGAGTGTACAGCAGAACAAGGACAAAGGATGTACAATTTATTCTTTTTGTGGAAGATATTCAATCTCCAGTTTTTGAGACATGAAAGCACACGTCTTTCCTGATAATCCAGTTTTCTACCAGTAAGAAAATTCACAATAAGTCATCTATTACAGTGTCTGATTGGACCATTACTCCAGTAACAGGTTGTTTAACTCTTTTGATGGAATAACTAATCTAATGGATCATGTGCAGGACATTTCCAAATGAAAACAACAATTTATAAAAGAATGGATTCTGTTTTATCTAATATTTTAATGGCTCCCTTACTCAAACATAACTGAAACTACATATTGATTCATCCATGATGATATGCTGTCACAGATAGAACTAGAGGCTCTCAAGAGCCTGTGTCGCTCACCTGTATTTTCTGATGCTTTGGAAATCATGTAAAATAAGGTTAAAATCATAATTAATAGTATTAGATATTAGATATTATAATGATATCTAAGATAATAACAAAAAACTGCAAAATTTTTGTAAAATTACTAACTCAGGGTCAGCAACCCAACAACGGGTCGTCGGATTCGTCTGAAAATTTCAGGGCAGATAAATCTAAATCTGATGAACATTTTTGCCATCTGTCAGATTTGCTCTAAATGCTTTAGTTTCAGAGATATAAACCAAAAACTGCATTTTACCCCTTTGTTCTATTTTAAGCCATGGCCGCCATATTGGTTGGTTGGCGGGGTCATGGGACAAATTTTTTAAACTAGATACCCCTAATAATGATTATGGCCAAGTATGGTTAAATTTGTATCAGTAGTTTCAGAGAAGAAGATTTTTGTAAAAGATTACAAAAATTTACAAAAAATTGTTAAAAATTGATTCTTAAGGGCAATAACTCCTAAAGGGGTCGACTGACAATTTTGGTCATGACAACTTATTTGTAGATCTTACTTTGCTGAACATTATTGCTGTTTACAGTTTATCTCTATCTATAATAATATTCAAGATAATAACCAAAAACTGCAAAATTTCCTTAAAATTACCAAATTCAGGGGCAGCAACCCAACAACAGGTTGTCAGATTTGTCTGAAAATTTCAGGGCAGATAGATCTTGACCTGATAATCAGTTTTACCCTATGTCAGATTTCCTCTAAATGCTTTGGTTTCAGAGATATAAGCCAAAATCTATATTTTACCCCTATGTTCTATTTTTAGCCATGGCGGCCATCTTGGTTGGTTGGCGGGGTCATCGGACACATTTTTTAAACTAGATACTTGAATGATGATTGTGTTTAAGTTTGGGTGCATTTGGCCCAGTAGTTTCAGAGGAGAAGATTTTTGTAAAAGTTTACGGACGACGGACGACGGACGACGGACGCCAAGTGATGAGAAAAGCTCACTTGACCCTTCGGGTCAGGTGAGCTAAAAATGCAGTTTACCCTTAAATTTTTTTATGTTGAATCTAATTTTCCAAAGAAAAATTCCATGGAAGTTTCAGAATTACCTGCACATTGTTATGATAATGTCAGAAATTAGAAAAATAAAGACTTAAACTGATCTTAAGGACTACCTTTGTACTTCAGGTGGAAGAGATAAATTTGGTTGTAATTCTACTAATCGTTTATTATTTTTCTCAAATAATCTCTGTAAGTTTCCATCTGCTCCTTCAAATGGTTTTTCACACACCAAACTAAAACAAAACGGTAGAAATTTAAATATACCTTTTTAAACATCTAACCTAATTGACATTAAAATTGCTGATTTCAAAATGTAATATGGACTTTTAAAATGTACAATACAGTCTGTTATATAAAAATAACAAGTAGAGATGTCGGCAATTTAAGTATTAAATTAACAGGAAGTTGATAATGCATATGAAAAGCCCATACTGTATAATATATAAAATGTGAAACAATCGAAGAGAATACTACTGTTAATTTCAACTGATATTTTTTTTATAAAAAAAGCAATCTAATGCAAAGAATTCAGTATTGTATCCAGGGATGAGATTCTTTTCGACAGTCTGTAGTAATTCAATTATCAACTTTTATGTAGTTGTTATTAGGCGATTTGAAATTTGATTTTGTTGATGAGTTATCAAATCCACAAGACAATTTACCATCGTATATAGTAATAAGCTGCTTCCACATTGTAATATCTTGATCCACTGAGTGTTCCTAACTGGTTATGTGGTGTTCCTATAAAAAAAATGTTCAAAGCTTCACTTCACAAACATATCTAATGAGTCTTTTTATTTCAACTGGACACAATTATTTACACATGAAAAGTATGGTTACTTCAATATAGCAACTTAACATCATGATAGGAACCCATCCTTTTAGGTGGCCAAACTAATGTGAAATGAAGACATTCAAATGATAATTCCCATAGTAAAATAAAGTATCCTTTCTGTATGGATCCAAACCAGTCTTTTTTGAATGGCCAAACATTTACTTGTAGATTTTCAAATTCTATGCTTATTTTCCTCTCTGTTCCTCCTACTTTTAGGATCCACAATATGATTTTTCAAATACTATTATCCATAAAATGCCTGTATTACTGTTATTAGATGTCATGAATAACATTAATAAATAAATCTAACTGTGAAAGAATAGCTAAATAATGCGATATTTTTTCTTAAATAATTTACAAATGTGGTATATTATTATTATACACTTTTCATATAACATACTGTATAGTAACCTTTTTAGACTTAAGTGAATGTAAAAAATCTGTTAATAAAAGGTCACAAGTGACAAACAAATGATACTTTTTTATGGTTTACACCTTCACAAAAATGCATGAAAAAATGTTTTTTAAAAAATAAATAATGATAAAGCATTCATTTACTTACTACATTTATCTTAACATTTTGCATATCAAATGTAATTATGAATGTTTCTTTATGACCTACCATTTTCTGGACACAGGGCTATAGCCTGGTAATAGAATCTTTCTGCTGATGACTTACTAAATCCCTTATCAAAATCCTGTTGGTATCTTGCTGAAATACATAAAGTTGGTAGATCATTAGATTTTTTAAAGTTTTAAAATAGCCTAAGTTATACCTCCTTCGGTCATTCTTGTTGGTGTCCTAGAAGGAACTAGACATCATTGAGATGGGAGCCATCTCTGTGGCCCCCGCTGTAAATAACGTGTGGTAAAAAATTTGTATCTTTACCATAAGACAAGGGGTTGTCAACTGAAACCAAAGTTTTTGACCTTGACCTTTGACCTAGGAAGTTGTACATACATTATGACACACCCTCTGGTGTTGGTTAATATAAATGTCAAGTATAAACTTTGAAATCATAACGGTTCTCAAGATATAAAGCGGACACCATCTTTACCATAGGACATGGGGTTGTCAACTGAAACCAATGTTTTTGACCTTGACCTTTGATCTAAAAAGTTGTACATACATTATGAGACACCCTCTGGTGTTGGTTAATATACATGTCAAGTATAAACTTTGAAATCATAACGGTTCTCAAGATATAGAGCGAACACGATCTTTACTATAGGACATGGGGTTGTCAACTGAAACCAAAAAGTTTTTGACCTTGACCTTTGACCTAGGAAGTTGTACATACATTATGACACACCCTCTGGTGTTGGTTAATATACATGTCAATTATAAACTTTGAAATCATAACGGTTCTCAAGATATAGAGCGGACACGATCTTTACTATAGGACATGGGGTTGTCAACTGAAACCAAAAAGTTTTTGACCTTGACCTTTGACCTAGGAAGTTGTACATACATTATGACACACCCTCTGGTGTTGGTTAATATACATGTCAAGTATAAAGTATGAAATTATAACTGTTCTCCAGATATAGAGTGGACACAATTTGTTGCGGACAGACGGACAGATGGACAGACAAACGGACGGACAGATAGACTGATCACTATAGGGCGACCCCCCACTTGGCGGGGCCCTAATTATCAGCATTTTCTGGTCAAATGTTTTATATTTTCCAAATTTAAATTCCATTTTATCACATAATTTATAGTGACATATAACTGATATATCTGGAATCACATATGACTTTTTCCCATATACCTATACTTGAGCTTCATGCTGATGTTAGCCCATGGCTTCCTAAACGGTCTTATATTCCAGATATTTATAAATTTACGGGACATTGTACGGCTGGCTCAAATATTTTTTGGAAGCCCTGTGTTAGCCATGGAGTGAAATTTTACTTGTAGAATTAAATTTGTACAGCATGTTGTCATAGAGAAAATCAAAGTATTTCACCACTCATAATTAACAATTTAACAAAACAAACAAATATGTTTTTGAAGGAAAAACAGAGGAAGGACGCATATAACCCCCAATCAGAAACATCATGGCTACGATAGCAATGCAAGTCTAATCAATCCTAAATATCAAAATAATATTCAATCTTAAATATCAAAATAATAATCAATCCTAAATATCAAAATAAAAATAATGAGATACAGACCTGGGGTCAATTACATGCCAATGTAATTAATTACATTACAATTACATTGATTTTCAAATGTAATTAATTACATTTCAATTACTTTTGTCCAAAGACATGTAAGAGCTCTATCATTTAGAAAAAAATCATTAAAATGACGACAGGAAAGAATAGAATGAAACTTTTATACATATATGTGGACTTTTTAGCAGTGAAAACATTTGTACAAGCTATATTTTAAGTTTTCAAATTCCTAACAGCATTGTTACATTTAATCATCATTAGATTTTTGACTGCATTTATTATTTTTATGGTGAAAAATTTATAAAGATATATATATAGATAGAAATGAATATATTTTTAAATTTTAACATATGCATATGATGGTTTAAAATAAAAATTGCCTTTGACATTTTAATCAAGGGACATTCTTTTACTTCATAATTAGTTAAGTGAAAGAATAACCTGGGGCTATGGTTATTGTTAATTGTTAGAACAGTATATTTACAAATCGTAGGTCAATCATGTCAATAAATTAGTACTGTTCTTGATATTTAGATTTTTTTTTTATGTAAACATGTGAACAAAATTAATGAATTAAATACAAATTATTATACATGCTATAATGATTAAGGAAGTATCAAGGAATGATGTAGTTTTTTCAACATGATAAGTGTTTAAAAAGTATAAAAAAAAAAAGTACCAAGTGCATATTAAATGTAGGGAAAATATAAAATACAAGTTGCATCAGAAAAGCCAAAAATGTAATTTCCCAGCAATTTATATTAATGTAATTGAAAGTAATTGAAATGTAATTCATAATTACATGGCAATAGGTCATGTAATTCATTACTTTCAATTACATGTAATTGAAAATATGCTCAATTACACATTACATTGAATTACTTTCAAATTTGTAATTACAGCTAATTACAATTACATTTTTAATTACCCTAGGTCTGCTGACATACACTGAAAGCTCATTCTTTAAAAATATGATCTAAGGTTAATCATTCCCTGTCATATTACAGTTAAGACTTACCAATATCACCAAGACAAACCAAACACCTATGACAAGCCATTATGGCCCAAGCTTGAACTGATGGACCAAAATCTCGCTTTTTTACACTGTTAGAAAGTCCCATTTTTCTCATTACTGAAACACGAAAAAATTTAAGCATTGCATAAGGATTATCATCAAGAAATCTGACATAATTTCACTTATAGTAACAGTACAGGAAAAAGATTTCAATTATAAAACACAGTGATATATATCCCTCATTACTGTCATGAATAATGAATTCACACACTATTGTGATGCTTTTATTTGAAAGATGACCATCACAATTTAAGTAAATAAAGATTCTAATACTGGTCACAAATATTGTACTGCAACATATACACTACAATTATCATGTAACTTTTGTATAACTGTCTGATTTTGAAATTTTAATGTATGCATTAAATTTAGAATTACTAGTATACTATTTATCTTTAAAGATAACTTCATGGATTTTTCTATGGTTAAAGGGTTGAATGTTTAATACCTATTTGTGTAAAAAAATGATAAATATTATAGGAATATTAAATTATATAACAAAAAGCTGTGATAAATATGTTTTACGCAAATCTAAACGTTTAGTTGTCAAATATTCGGAATCGTTTTTGGTACAATATATTTTTTTCTGTATGACACTGAGATAGACATTGGTTTTTATTTTTTAGCCATGGCATTGTCAGTTTATTTTCGATCTACTTTCGCCCCTCTTTCATAGAATCCAATTTTTGTCAGTTTGGTTAATCAAAGCATGTTTGTAAGTATTTGATTTCATAGAATCCAATTCTTGCCAGTTTGGTTAATCAAAGCATGTTTGTAAGTATTTGTTTTCATGGAACCCAATTCTTGTCAGTTTGGTTAATCAAAACATGTTTGTAAGTATTTGTTTTCATGGAATCCAATTCTTGCCAGTTTGGTTAATCAAAGCATGTTTTTAAGTATTTGTTTTCATGGAATCCAATTCTTGTCAGTTTGGATGATTAAAGCATGTTTGTAAGTATTTGTTTTCATGGTTGCATATTTTATTAATTGATTGATTGTTGCTTGTTCAACGTTCAAAATCTGTTTAAAATATGTTATCATAATGCATTTTTTTAAAGGTACTTGTTTACTTGCATTAATTTATAGTTATTTCTAAAAAAAAATCAAATGGCGAAAATTCAGTATGTCACAAAAATCACTACTTAAACAGTAATCTTAGATGACAAACCTGTTTTCTGTTCTGGTACAAGATTAAAATCTAATATTCCATTAAATTTGAGACCAAATTCTTGTTGCAATCTAAATAAAAGATGGTAGTAGTATCCTGTTGCTGATGACAGATGTGTGCGAAATGCTGCTTCTAATGAACTACCCATTCTGATGTGCTGAAATATATATATGACAAGCATGTGACATAATATGCAGGCAAGTCAAAAAGATGTGCACCATTATCAACCTACTGAAACCAGTGAAACTATTCAAATAATTTGGAGGGCTGTTAACAGATTACTATTTGAAGTCTTAAAGGAACCTTTTCCTTTTCTTCTCTTATCATAAATACGATAAAAAAAGACATTTTTTCTGCAAATTTTTATTTTGCAGCAGGAAAACTTTAAATAATAGAGATTAATTCAATCATATTTAATTCAAGAAAAATAAAAAAATTCATGATGTTCTTCAATTTTTTTGGCAAAGAATGGAATTTGTACAGAATTAATGCTGAATATAGACAATAACTTATCATGTCAAATTTAAACAAGTATAATTATCAGTGAAACATTTTACATTTTGTATACTTACTTTTCTGTTATGTTTCATAAGTTGTATGATTTCATAGAAGACCTTTCTCCATAAAACTTCCTCTGCCTTTCTCCCATAATCAGATGGGTTGTAAAACATAAGTCTTTCACAGTATTCTTTAAGTCTATAAACAAATGCTTTTCATTAGGCCAAAAAAAATATATATATCTGTTTAAGGTTACATACTTTTAAAAAAAAAAGGGTAGGTAGGTAGGTATTTCCATTTTATTCTATTTTTTCATTTTATTTTTTGTAACATGATTTTGAGTCATGCGGTTTCGTCTTGTTGTGGTCCGAGTTGATCATGGGCCGAGTTTACCCGTATTTTTAATGATTGGATTATTTCCCTTGGTAATTGGTTGGAAAAAAATGGCGGCAAAGTGTTTATTTCTTCACATGAGTCACGAATTTCCTTAAAACAGCTGTCACATTCACGATTGTGAACATTGGGATGTATCAGGCAATTGATTTATATTATTTGCAACACTAACTTCGCTTTTGACACGAGTTCAGTTTATTTTTCACTTTACGACGGAAATAAAATAACTTAGGGTCGGCGTTCAAAAATAGGGTCAGTCGGGTAACCGTAAACAGACATATATTTTTTTTTGGCCTTATTGAAAGGAACAATGAAATAAGTGTTCTCCACAGGGCCTTTTAGCATTATGGTAATGGGATGCTAACGGAAATTATTTTTCTTATAGATTTTGTGATAGATGTGATACTATAATTTTTACAAATAAAATGCTTTGCTGGGGCGCAGCTTGATACGACCGCAGAGGTCGTACCCTGAACAGTTGGGGCAAGTATGGACACAACATTCAAGCTTGATACAGCTCTGAATTTGGATTGTTATTAAATATTTGACACAGCATAGGTTTCTGACACAGAAAGAATGTGGTCTAAGAACTTGAATTTTTTAATTTACCTATTATGGTCCAATGTCCAAAATCAAAATACATGGTTAGATTCAGCATATCAAAGAACCCCATATATTCAATTTTTGTTGAAATCAAACAAAGTTTAATTTTGGACCCCAACTTGGACAAACTTGAAAACTGGTCCCATAATCAAAAATCTAAACACATGTTTAGATTCAGCATATCAAAGTACCCCAAGAATTCAATTTTTGTTAAAATCAAACTAAGTTTAATTTTGGACCCTTTGGACCTTAATGTAGACCAATTTAAAAAACGGGACCCAAAATTAAAAATCTAAAAACACGGTTAGATTTGGCATATCAAAGAACCCCAATAATTCAATTTTTGATGAAATCAAACAAAGTTTAATTTTGGACCCTTTTGACCTCAATATGAAGCAATTTGATAGCGGGGCCCACAAATAAAAAATCTAAATTCAAGGTTAGATTCAGCATATCAAAGAACCCCATATATTCAATTTTTGTTGAAATCAAAAAAAGTTTAATTTTGGACCCCAACTTGGACCAACTTGAAAACTGGGCCCATAATCAAAAATCTAAACACATGTTTAGATTCAGCATATCAAAGAACCCCAAGAATTCAATTTCTGTTAAAATCAAACTAAGTTTAATTTTGGACCCTTTGGACCTCAATGAAGACCAATTTAAAAAACGGGACCCAAATTAAACATCTAAAAACACGGTTAGATTTGGCATATCAAAGAACCCCAATAATTCAATTTTCGATGAAATCAAACAAAGTTTAATTTTGGACCCTTTTGACCTCAATATGAACCAATTTGATAGCGGGGCCTACAAATAAAAAATCTAAATACATGGTTAGATTCAGCATATCAAAGAACCTCATATATTCAATTTTTGTTGAAATCAAACAAAGTTTAATTTTGGACCCCAATTTGGACCAACTTGAAAACTGGGCCCATAATCAAAAATCTAAATACATGTTTAGATTCAGCATATCAAAGAACCCCATATATTCAATTTTTGTTGAAATCAAACAAAGTTTAAATACTGGACCCTATCTTGGACCAACTTGAAAACTGGGCCCATAATCAAAAATCTAAACACATGTTTAGATTCAGCAAATCAAAGAACCCCAAGAATTCAATTTTTGTCAAAATCAAACTAAGTTTAATTTTGGACCCTTTGGACCTTAATGTAGACCAATTTAAAAAACGGGACTTAAAATTAAAAACCTAAATACACGGTTAGATTTGGAATATCAAAGAACCCCAATAATTCAATTTTAGATGAAATCAAACAAAGTTTAATTTTGGACCCTTTTGACCTCAATATGAACCAATTAGATAACGGGGTCCACAAATAAAAAATCTAAATACATGGTTACATTCAGCATATCAAAAAACCCCATATATTCAATTTTTGTTGAAATCAAACAAAGTTTAATTTTGGACCCCAACTTGGACAAACTTGAAAACTGGGCCCATAATCAAAAATCTAAACACATGGTTAGATTCAGCATATCAAAGAACCTCATATATTCAATTTTTGTTAAAATCAAACAAAGTTTAATTTTGGACCCCAATTTGGACCAACTTGAAAACTGGGCCCATAATCAAAAATCTAAATACATGTTTAGATTCAGCATATCAAAGAACCCCATATATTCAATTTTTGTTGAAATCAAACAAAGTTTAAATACTGGACCCTATCTTGGACCAACTTGAAAACTGGGCCCATAATCAAAAATCTAAACACATGTTTAGATTCAGCAAATCAAAGAACCCCAAGAATTCAATTTTTGTCAAAATCAAACTAAGTTTAATTTTGGACCCTTTGGACCTCAATGTAGACCAATTTAAAAAACAGGACCCAAAATTAAAAACCTAAATACACGGTTAGATTTGGAATATCAAAGAACCCCAATAATTCAATTTTAGATGAAATCAAACAAAGTTTAATTTTGGACCCTTTTGACCTCAATATGAACCAATTAGATAACGGGGTCCACAAATAAAAAATCTAAATACATGGTTAGATTCAGCATATCAAAGAACCCCATATATTCAATTTTTGTTGAAATCAAACAAAGTTTAATTTTGGACCCCAATTTGGACCAACTTGAAAACTGGGCCAAAAATCAAAAATCTAAATACATGTTTAGATTCAGCATATCAAAGAACCTCATATATTCAATTTTTGCTAAAATCAAACAAAGTTTAATTTTGGACCCTTTGGACCTCAATGAAGACCAATTTAAAAAACGGGACCCAAATTAAAAATACGGTTAGATTTGGCATATCAAAGAACCCCAATAATTCAATTTTCGATGAAATCAAACAAAGTTTAATTTTGGACCCTTTTGACCTCAATATGAACCAATTAGATAACGGGGTCCACAAATAAAAAATCTAAATACATGGTTAGATTCAGCATATCAAAGAACCCCATATATTCAATTTTTGTTGAAATCAAACAAAGTTTAATTTTGGACCCCAATTTGGACCAACTTGAAAACTGGGCCAAAAATCAAAAATCTAAATACATGTTTAGATTCAGCATATCAAAGAACCTCATATATTCAATTTTTGCTAAAATCAAACAAAGTTTAATTTTGGACCCTTTGGACATTAATGTAGACCAATTTGAAAACTGGACCCAAAATTAAAAATCTAAATACACTGTTAGATTCGGCATAACAAATAAATAAATGTGATCAAAGATTTTACAAATCTAATGCGCCATACTGTGCAATTAAAGATTACTTCTTGAAATTTTTCAATATTTGAAATTTGAAAAAAAATAATATTTGAAGAATAATTCTTTTTAATTTCTGAAATCTGAAATGAGAAAAAATTGGCCCCCCACAATTTCTTTTTATCCCCCCCCCCCCCTTTTTCCCCCAAAAAAATTCTTTCCCTCAAGATATGGTCATAATCTCAATTCAAATTTCCAATGGAGTTGGCAACCATAATTACCCATTTAAATTTACCATAGTGCTAACTTAATCTATTTTATAATAGAATTAATAAAAATATAGTGTCAAATCTTTCATATGGATTTTTTTGTAAAAAAAAAAGATGAAAACATTTGCAGATATTTTTACTGGTCTTCCTTTATAAATATGCATTTCTTTAAACATAATTTAAAAGCAGTGTAAGGGAAGTAACCAAAACGTTGTATTTGGATTACCTCCCTTACACTGTTTTAGATTATCTTTATTGTTCATTAACCATTACTTTATACATAATTTAAAAGCAGTGTAAGGGAGATAATTTCAATGATGTATTTGATTTATCTCCCTTACACTGCTTTAAATTATGTTTTGTACTAAAGTATTTGTCCATTAACCAGGACAACCTTGTTTTTCCCCCTTTTTTGCCCCTAATTCCTAAACGGTTTGAGCCATAACCCCCCAAAGCAAATCCTAACCATCCCTTTGTGGTATGGAAACTTGTAGTATAATTTCAGAGAGATCCATACACCGTTCCACAGTTATTGTCTGGAAACTAGAAAATGCTCATTTTTGGCCCCTTTTTGGCCCCTAATTCCTTAACTGTTGGTACCATTACCCCCAAAATCAATCCCAACCTTCCTTTTGTGGTATTTAACCTTATGGTCAAATTTCAAAAAGATCCATTCACTTAAACTAAAGTTAGAGTGCGAAAACCAATATGTATTCGGACGACGACGCCGGACGACGAAGACGACGACGACGACAACGACGACGACGACGCCAACGTCATACCAATATATGACCACAAAATTTTTTTGCGGTCGTATAAAAAGGTGCCTTTTAAAAATTCTCAGTTTACCAGAATGTTATATGTAATTTGAGATGAGAATACTGCTTAGTATTTCTCAAAACTGACTCAATTCTTATTTACCTTGTAGCAGAACTTTGCAATAAATGGTAAATACATTGTACACAGTTCTTACATGCTACTAGATAAATCTAGCTTTGATTTTGGATTCTTTGCATGTTTTCTATCTTTGGTGAACAGTATCAGAGGTATTTAAAAATCATTTTCAACTTGAGGGCAATACAATGTAGTAAAGAATACTTGTATGTTTAACTGTGAAGATAAAAATTCTCTGTCAACTTCAGTAGGGGGGTTTAGGCATTCAATATATGGGTATACATACATGTATGCTTTCTTAGATTTTTTAAATGTATGATTTTTATTCATCTTTCTAATGTTTAATGGCAATATATCTAACAATTTTGTCACATAAAGTCCTTAAAGGTGCATGGTTAAGTATGGTAAAAGACTGCACATTTTTAGCATATGAAAGTCTAAAATGGATGTTTAGTGATAAAATTTTTATGGTAAATTTTTTTATACAGCAACAGTAATTTTCACAAATTCTTATACTGCATACAATTTCATGATATTTGATCAAAGCAAACATTAGCTACTGCAATAAATGTGAAAAAATATCCATTTTGCAGTAATTACATGCATTGAAAAAAATTCAAATCAATCTAGTATAATTTTCATACTTATTGTGTGAATTGTGTATAATTTCCGTATTTGTTGTGAAGTCCTACAGCATTGAGTGTATAATTTTCATACTTATTGTGAAGTCTTACAGCATTGAGTGTACAATTTTCATACTTATTGTGAATTCCAACAGCATTGAGTGTACAATTTTCATACTTATTGTGAAGTCCTACAGCATTGAGTGTACAATTTTCACACTTATTGTGAAGCCCTACAGCACTGAGTGTACAATTTTCATACTTATTGTGAAGTCCTACAGCATTGAACGTATAATTTTCATACTTATTGTGAAGTCCAGCAGCATTGAGAGTATAATTGTCATACATATTCTGAAGTACTACAGCATTGAGTGTATAATTTTCACACTTATTGTTAAGTCCTACAGCATTGAGTGTATAATTTTCATAATTAGGCCTAACAAAATTATACAATGTATGTATGCTTGTTTCCTGTCTCCAAGCTGAAAAAAATAGGGTAAGTAGGTAAGAAATTTATAGAATTGTATTTTATTCTATTTTTTTATTTTGTTTCCTAAACTGTGAGACTGATAAATTTCAAAACCAATATATATACCAAATAAGCATTATTGAACATTTTAAGAGAAAAATGCACACAAAAAAAACAGAGGGTCTGAGGCAGGGACCACCTGGAGACAGGAAACAAGCATGTATTTTTTCATATTTATTGTGAAGTCCTACAGCATTGAACATATAATTTTCATACTTATTGTGAAGTCCTGCAGCATTGAGAGTATAATTGTCATACATATTCTGAAGTACTACAGCATTGAGTGTATAATTTTCATACTTATTGCGAAGTCCTACAGCATCTTGATGGAAAACTTCTCTGTATGCTTTCTTTTGTTTGGAAATTTCATCTAATCTTCTGATGGCCTCAAGTGCTGCTCTATAAAAAATATAGAATGAGAAATTATTTATTTTTGTCTTGCATCATCTTAGGCCAAAAAAAATACATGTCTGTTTAAGGTTACATCATATAAAATAAAAATGCTTCGCTGAGCGCAGCCTGATACGACCGCAGTGGTCGAACCCTGAACAGTTGGGGCAAATTTGGACACAATATTCAAGCTTGATACTATCTGAATTTGGATTGTGATCAAATTTTTGACATAATATAGGTTTCTGACACAAAATAAATGTGGTCAAAGATCTCACAAATCTAATGCGCAATACTGTGCAATTGAAGATTTCTTCTTGAAACTTTTCAAAAATTTGAAATTTTAAAAATAAAATAATATGAACCCTTTTAAAAAAAAATTGGAAACCCCCCCTTCCCTCCAAACTTTTTGAATCCCCCTTTTAGCATTAACCATCAAACTCAATTGCAGTCTTTCCTTTGAAGTATGGAACCTTGTAGTACAATTTTAGAGAGATCCATACACTTAATCACAAGTTACTGTCTGGAAACTAGAAAAATGCTTTTTTTAAATTAAAAAGCCTCAATCAGCAACATTAAATAGTAATGTCTAAAAATAAAATTCCTTCACAAACATAATCATGGCTATAATTAAATTACCTTTTTTTAAACATTTTTAAAATAGTAACTTCTAAAAATAAATTGACAGCTAATCACCTAAAGACAATACATTTTTTATAAATAATTTACAAGCAGTGTAAGTGAGGTAATTTGACAATATGTGTTTGAATTACCTCCCTTACACTGCTTTAAAATTATGTTTTGTACTAAAGTAATTGTCCATTAACCTGAAAACCCTTGTTTTCCCCCTATTTTGCCCGAATTCCTAATAAAATGCTTCGCTGAGCGCAGCCTGATACGACCGCAGAGGTCGAACCCTGAACAGTTTGGGTAAATTTGGACACAATAATCAAGCTTGATACTGTCTGAATTTGGATTGTGATCAAATTTTTGACATAATATAGGTTTCTGACACAAAATAAATGTGGTCAAAGATCTTACAAATCTTTTGCGCAATACTGTGCAATTGAAGATTTCTTCTTGAAACTTTTCAAAATTTCGAAATTTGAAAAATTTTGAAAAAAAAATATGAAATCCCTTAAAAAAATTGGGAAAAAAATCCCCCCCACAACTTTTTGAAACCCCCCTTGGAGCAATAACCCCAAAACTCAATCCCAGCCTTTCCTTTGTAGTATGGAACATTGTAGTACAATTTCAGAGAGATCCATACACTAAACACAAGCTTTTGTCTGGAAACTATAAAAATGCTTGTTTTTGGCCCTTTTTGGCCCCTAATTCCTACATGTTTGGGGCAATTAACCCCAAACTCAATCACAGCCTTCCCTTTGTTACATGGAACCTTGTGGTACACTGCCAGAGAGATCCATACATTTACACACAAGTTATTGTCTGGAAACTAGAAAAATGCTTGTTTTTGGCCCCTTTTTGGCCCTTAATTCCTAAACTGTTGGCCCCATAACCCTTAAAATGAATCCCAACCTTCTACGTGTGGTATTAAACATTGTGGTACAATTTCAGAGCAATCGCAATACTTATACACAAGTTATTATCCTGAAACTAGAAAAATGCTTGTTTGGGCCCCTAATTCCTAAACGGTTGGGATCATCATCCCCAAAATCAATCCCAACCTTTCTTTTGTGGTATTGAACCTTCTTAAAAAATTTCATAGTGATTCATTCACTTAAACTAAAGTTATTGTCCGGAAACCAATGTGTCTTCGGACGACGACGACATCATACCATTATACGATCCCAAAAATTTGTTTGCGGTCGTATAAAAAGTTTGAGCCATAACCCCCCAAAGCAAATTCTTACCATCCCTTTGTGATATGGTAACTTGTGGTATAATTTCAGAGAGATCCATACACCATTTCACAAGTTATTGTCTGGAAACTAGAAAAATGCTTATTTGGGCCCCATTTTTGCCCCCAATTCCTGAACTGTTAGGACCATAACCCCCAAATTCAATTCCAACCTTCCTTTTGTATTCATAAACCTTATGGTAAAATTTCATAGAAATCCATACACTTAAACAAAAGTTATTGTCTGGAAACCAATGTGTCTTCGGACGACGACGACGACGCGATACCAATATACGACTGCCAAATTTTTGCGGTCGTATAAAAATAGGGTAGGTAGGTCGGTATTTCCATTTTATTTTTTTCATTTTTATTTTTTGCGACATGATTGTAAGTCGTGCTGAGGTTTGAGTTGTCCATGGGCAGAATTTACCCATATTTTAATGCTAAAAGTAATTCAAAAAGCATAATTTCCGAAAAATAAAGAATGTTTGTTTATGTCATCCCAAAATGATTTTATGACTGGTTTTTCCTCTTTCAAAGTTAACATTTAAACAAAGATTTGTTTTACAGTATATCATTATTAGGCAATCCGGTAAATCCCCTTTGTTTAAAGGATTCGCAATGCTATTGTCAAAATGTTTTGTAAATAGTTGCACCAAGTGTTTGATAGAAGTCTCAATCCTATGAAAATTATAATATATTCATGAATAAAATGCTCCGCTGGGGCGCAGCTTGATACGACCGCAGAGGTCGAACCCTGAACAGTTGGGGCAAGTATGGACACAACATTCAAGCTTGATACAGCACTGAATTTGGACTGTAATTAAATATTTGACACAGCATAGGTTTCTCACACAGAATGAAAGTGGTCTAAGAACTTAAAAATTTTTAATTTACCTATTCAAACCATATCATTATTAATTTATTGGTTTTTATATATAAATCAGAAATTACCAATTTAAATTGGAAAATTTTAAAGAAAAAAAAAGGAAAAAAAAATCCCCTCCAATTTGTTGAACCCCCTTATGATTCATCACCCCAAACTCAATCCCAGCTTTCCCTTTGTGGTATGGTACCTTGCAGTACAATTTCAGAGAGATCCATACACTTGAACACAAGTTATTGTCTGGAAACTAGAAAAATGCTTGTTTTTTGGCCCCTTTTTGGCCCCAAATTCCTAAACATTTAAGGCAATTACCCCCAAACTCAAACCCAGCTTTCCCTTTGTGATATGGTACCTTGCAGTACAATTTCATAAAGATCCATACACTTACACACAAGTTATTGTCCTGAAACTAGAAAAATACTTGTTTTTTTGCCCTTTTATGGCCCCTAATTACTAAAATTTTGAGGGAATTACCCCCAAAAACAATCCCAGCCTTCCCTTTGTGGTATGGTACCTTGCAGTACAATTTCAGAGAGATCCATACATTTGAACACAAGTTATTGTCTGGAAACTAGAAAAATGCTTATTTTTGGCCCCTTTTTGGCCCCTTTTTCCTCAACTTTTTGGGCAATTACCCCCAAACTCAATTTTAGCTTTCCCTTTGTGATATGGATCTTGTAGTACAATTTCATAAAGATCCATACACTTACACACAAGTTATTGTCATGAAACTAGAAAAATGCTTGTTTTTTGCCCTTTTATGGCCCCTAATTACTAAAATTTGGAGGCAATTACCCCCAAAATCAATCCCAGCATTCCCTTTATGATATGGAACCTTGTGTTACAATGTCAGAGAGATCCATACACTTACACACAAGTTATGTCTGGAAGTTACAAAAATGCTTATTTTTGGCCCCTTTTTGGCCCCTAATTCCTTAACTGTGGGTACCATAACCCCCAAAATCAATCCCCACCTTCCTTTTGTGGTATTGAACCTTATGGTAAAATTTCATTGAGATCCATTCACTTTAACTAAAGTTAGAGTGCGAAAACTAATGTGTCTTCGGACGACGACGACGACGACGCCAACGTCACACCAATATACGACCACAAAATTTTTTTTGCGGTCGTATAAAAAGAATTTAAAACAATCCACAAAACAAGCAATGACAAGTGGGATTACGGTGTTTTTATTGGAAACAACCATATCTGGTAAATCTGCCAAAACGGAAATACTGCTTTTATTTAACAGTTTCTTTTGATATTTCAACATAAAACTTTTATAGCTTCTTTACAGCTTATTTAAAGTAATTGCTTTTAACGTGAAAATTGACAGAAAATCCTGTAAACTTTCAAAATTAAATTCAAAATGAATGATTTTCATATTCAAATATTATTTCACTCAAAACTAAATGCCTCTACGAAGCCCAACCCTTTTTGTAATTAATATATAAATTATAAAATATTGTATAGTCACTATTTGGTTAGGGTGCTGATGGTGATGTCTGTGTTTTTCTTTAATGTATCTTTAAATGGAATGTTTTACATAATACATAAGGATCCAAATGAAAATGAAATTTTCTTTTCTCAAAAAAGGAATTAGATTTTTCTTGACCCTTTGGTTTATCATAAGGTATTGATAAATATGGCCATATTTGCAACAAAAATCTTAGTACAGACAAATCTGAACACCATGAAATTTTTTAAAACATTGCGGGACCTAGATATATAAAAGTTGTATCCATTGTGTATGTCAAACAAATAAAATCTTTTGGGGATTTTTGGATATTTTTTTTTATTCAAGCCTGCAGAAGATGGTTAAATAAACAAACACCTGAATTTCATTGACACAGTCCACTCAGTTTCACAGTTTAATCTTTTGTTATGCAGGTAAAAAAGTTACAGATTGTATAGTAATTTTTGGTTTTATGTCCTAATTTGACAAATATAAAAATAAGTAATTGACTTGTATAGTACATTTTACTGTAGTTTTTATTTTACATGTAGCAAAAATCAGCATCAACTTAAAAACAGGTTTTGTCCTCTTACACCTGCCTCATATTATGAATACAAAGTCCCCAATGACAGTTAGAAAATCAATTAAAATAAAATATACTAATGAACTCAAAATTGTTAACTCTTTTTTCTAACATGTTTCTAATAGTTGAACTTGCACATTACCCTGTTCCTATTTTGTTGACAGATGCTGCCATGTTGTAAGTCATATAATTTCCACAAATTTGTATAACTGATAACCAAAAAGAATAAGGACAAACAATTTGAATTCATTCTGTTTGAAAACTTAATAATATGAGTCTAGAGCTTATTCAAAATACAATTTTATAGCAAACAAAATGAGTTCTCAGGGTAAAATCACCTCATATCAATCACATACCTGCCAACTGTTTCGAAATCTCCTTGGAGGATTTTAAGGGCATGAGGACATATAGTCCTTATAATTATGACATCTTGAAAGGCTATTTTATTTTTTTCCTTTGACGCCTTAAAGCGACGTCATTTTCTTTTGGTTGGATTTTGAAAGGGAATTTTGCTCTCAACTTTGAGACCCAATTTAGCCATAAATTTTCATTGATAGCTAGAAATTTTTGCATATATATACAAATGCTTACCTTTTATGCCTTTATTAGTGCAAAATATTTCCAATAATTTCCCAAAGAAATGATAAAATAAGTTACAATTCCATCCAAGGCAGACTATAATCTACTGCTTTTTTTAAAACATTTAGCTGATTTCACTTTCAGAGAGTATAAAATAAATTTTGCACCAAAACCCGAATTTCCTGATAGTTAGTTTTCTATTATCCGGAAATTCAGGTCTGTCAAAATTACTGAGTTTGGTGCAAAAATTTATTTTATACTCCTAAAGTGAAGCGTTTTCAGTAGAAATCAGCTAAACGTTTTAATAAAGCAGTAAATCTCTCTTGGAGTCCAACTGAAAAAAATGAGTTCGGCATTATGACGTCACTGTAAGGCGTCAAAGCAAAAAAATAAAATAGCCTTTCAAGGCGTCATAATTATTTGGACTAGAGGACCTAATGAACCTCTTATATTATCTAATATCATAAGCGTTTTTAATCTACTACTATATTGTTTCAATGAGTATGTATGTGCTTAAATACCCTATTAACTCATTTGAATGCCTGTTTCAAGGTGTTCATTTCAGTGGCGGATCCAGAAATTTTAATAAGTGGGGGCCCACTGACTGCCTAAAAGAGGGCCTGTTCTAGTAATGCTTCAGTGATTTCCTATATAATCAACCAAATTTTTCCAACAAAAGGGCCCCCCCCTAAATCCGCCTCTGCATTTTATGCAATAAAGAATTTTAAAAATTCAGGTGAACACCTCTCATGGGGATATCCCCCATAAATTGGGATAGAAGGCAGGTCTGCAATCAGGCAGATTTTTGTATCAGTACAAAGATCAGTAATAAACCAACTTTAGTTATTGTGTTTTTAATTAAACTATACTTTAAAACAAGAAAAAAAAACACTACCTGATGATAGCGTTTCTTTCTTTTTATTGAAAATGATATCATATATAAAATTCCTAACATTAGAACCAACATTGGATACGTTTCCGTAATTCAGATACTTTTCATAATATAAATAAGCTTTATTTAGAGTCGGCAAGGTATACAAACAGAAACAACATAAGCTCTAATGAGCTTTTAACCGACAGAAATCATGCTGGGATTTTTTTTTTACAAAAAATGTTTATAAGGGGAGGAAGTCCCCTATTACGGTAGAAAAATAAGAAGAAAGAAAAAAAATCAAATTTTTTAAAATTTTAAAAATTTCCAGCAAAAAAATCATTCTACTAATGAACTCAAAATCGTTAACTTTTTTTTTCAGACTTTTTTATTTTCCCGCATTTGCCCGGAAATCTACTTCCTTCTTCCGGTCTCGTATGTCATGAGAGTTTAGAAAAATATATATTTATCAGTCTAGTAAAATATAGGAAGAACACAATACCAATTTCATTTTTAATAATTCTTTGAAATGAAAAAAACGTTACCTGATGATAGCGTTTCTTTGTTTACATTGAATATGACGTCATAACTTAAATAATGTCACAACTAATATCACTAACAACAGAACCAAAATCGGAAACGTTACGGTATTTCCGTTTCTTTTTTAACAAATTTTGAAGTTAAAATATGTTTGAATTAAAAAAAAATTATTCATACAGACTTCGTCCCATTTCACAGGTAATGCCTGCCTCATATTATATATAAATCTGCTGTTAACTGGATATCCATGGTAAAGTATTCTAAAGATTTACTTCGTCCACTTCACAGGTAACAACTTCCTCATATTATCACTCAAAAGGCTGATTCTGAAATTTGATGAAATCTGGGCCAATAGATAAAGGGACTTGAAACTATGTTATATTTTTTTTCCAATAAATTTTTTGATTTGAGGTGCACCTGTAAACACGTTTCGCTTTATCAACATCTGGTTTTGTTTCTCCCGATTTTTCGCTCCCTTTCTTCATCTTTTCGGCAATATGTTCCACCAAATCAGGATTTCATTACATTCTCTCATTTCAAAAGCTAACTTTCCATAGTTGATGAAAGATCTTCCTGGTGGCACCGATATTTCGTTGCCATATTTTTTTCTATGGAACTTCTTTTGACTTTACTACCAACCCCATAAAAAGTCCAGAAAAGTATGAAAAGTTATCGCTAGTCAGAATATTCCCACACAAAATCAACTAAAATATAAATGAATCCCATTTTAATACTTTATATAACAACGCACCAACATGTACCTAAGGGGCATTAACAGTTTAGAGGCCTAAAACTTCCAAAAATAGTGTAAACCTGCGAGAATATAACTACTGATCGTATTTGATATTGAAATTCATTTAGTGAACGACTACTCCCGGTTGTAGGTCAAGTTGAAGCCAAAAATCGGGAAAAAAACGAGAACTTGATTCCGTATTTTTTGTGCAAATCCGTGACCTTCTTTAGACTGCTGTACCCAGATCAGTTTCACTCCAACCTAAGCTTTGTTGTAGTTAATGTGTTCACTGTGGTCTACTCCACATGCAGACTACAGGGGATACATCTATCAGCATCCCACGGTCTTCCAGGTCAAGAAAAAGGACGAAAAATCGTCAAAATTGACGCTTTTTGCACCTAATGACCAACTTTGGCATGGTAAGAGTTAATTACAGTTGATTATTTGTTGTTTTCAAATTTTGTTTCTATTTAAATTTTGTACCGATTTTCTGTCAATTGTACGTGACAGTCAGAGACAATAGTTTTCTGGATATGCCTGTTATTGTCTGTTATGCCATGATTAAGAAAATTATGTATTAAGTAGTCATAACTTCGCCAATGTAACCCGCTGGTCCCATACCCGGCTAAAAAGTAGAAGTGAAGTCATTAAGTTTTTTTATTTGAAAAAAAAATGGCGCAATCGTATACTTTATTCTTGGCGCAAATGATACACGGTATTTCAAAAACAAGTGGTGCCAACAAATTTCTGTTGACCCTTATAACACGCCATATGCTGAAGGGATGGATATGAGATGTGCCAATGCTTATATAACTGCATACGAAATATCAAAGACTTACCTTAAGTGTTTAACCTTAAACTGACCTTATCACAAACTTTAACATGTAAACTATATAGTCTATGCAGAAGTTTCAAAGTCAATAGACCATGACTAATTAAGGGATAATGACCAACTCCATGGATATGAGATGTGTCAATGCTTATATAGTTGCATCAAATATCAAAGACTTACCATAAGTGGTTCCCCATAAACTCACGGGTGTCATTCTGTATATCGAAAGAAATGATCGTGAAAGAATAACTAACGGTGGTCAAGCCCTCAACAAACTCCTTTTAATTTAGACCAAACAAAAAGACTTGAAAATAAAAAAAGTTGCATTTTCTATCTTGGACATAAAAAGTTGTAGTTTGGGTGTTAAACGTCTTACAAAAGAACCAAATAGTCTAAGTCGTCGATCCCTTTGCGGAGTTTTGTAGTTGAATTATATTTTAGGCACTGACCGTTCTTTTCTTTTTAGGGAGCATGGTATTTTTCTCGTGACAAACATTTTTTCCCCGACTTAAAAAAAAACCAAGCTATTTCTCAATAACAAGAATTATTATTAAAACGCAATGAATAATTCATTTCATCCCTAATATTCAATGCAAACAAATTTTTTTGTTCACTTTCCTTCTAATAAGGAATTATACTTAAATTAAATATATATAGAATACTCCCCATCAAAAGATGAATGGTCGGTGTTTTATTGAACTTTTGAAAATTCGCCCTTACAACAAATAAGACAACTGTTGTTAGTAGTATAAAGACATATGAATATGTTAATGATGATTAGGTTAATGTAACCATTTTTTCTTTCATAACACAACATCCAATAAGGGTACGCAATGATGACATCTGAATGGAATAAACGGCATATATATATATATATAAACAAGTCTAAATTGAAAACAACGTTCAAACCTATGATTGCGTTGGATAAAAACCGCAATTTTTATACGTTTGCATGCAAAACAAATTTCTTTGTAGAGGGGTCTAAATACAGCACAAACAACATTTTCCAAAAGACCAAAAAAGTGAAAAAGTATATTTTAACAAAACGCATTTGACTAGCAGGTCGAACAACGGATGTTCTTAAACCCTGCTGACTACCATGGCGATTGCCAAATAAACAGATCACAGATGTAACACAATGGATCTTAATTATTAATTTAATACCAAACCGAAAACAATAAACTTGCGGAAAAGATGGTATAACGCAAACATGAGGTGCAAAAATTTGTACACCATATCCGGATTTCGACAATTAATGTCTCTTCATTGATGTTAGGAATCGAAACGGTATTTGGAAGGCCATAATTATAATTTACCTCAATTTGGGATTGACTCTTGAATTTTGAAGAGTCGAAATAGGATGAACGGATCATTCATATAAACCCGCAGGCAAATATAATACAAGCCCAAACGAAAAAATATAAACAAGTCTAAACTTTGAAAACAACTTTCAAACATATGATTGCGTTGGACAAAAACCGCAAGTTTTATACGTGTGCATGCAAAACAAATTTCTTTGTAGAGGGGTCTAAATACAGCACAAACAACATTTTCCAAAAGACCAAAAAAGTGAAAAAGTATATTTTAACAAAACGCATTTGACTAGCAGGTCGAACAACGGATGTTCTTAAACCCTGCTGACTGCCATGGCGATTGCCAAATAAACAGATCACAGATCTAACACAATGGATCTTAATTATTAGTTTAATACCAAACAGAAAACAATAAACTTGCGGAAAAGATGGTATACAGCAAACATGAGGTGCAAAAATTTGTACACCATATCCGGATTTCGACAATAAATGTCTCTTCAGTGATAGGAATCGAAACGGTATTTGGAAGGCCATATAATTTACCTCAATTTGGGATTGACTCTTGAATTTTGAAGAGTCGAAATAGGATGAACGGATCATATAAACCCGAAGGCAAATATAATACAAGCCCAAACGAAAAATACACGTACACCATATCACCCTTGTTATTATCTATATAGTTATTAATATCATCTTTACATTTCAGTATATCGCAAGACGCCGTACAGAAAAACAAGTTGTTATTTTGCAATTCGCCGTACAACGCCCTTTAATTCTCCGTATAGTAACTTGAAAATTACAGGTGCATATTCTTTAAAAAAACATCTTTTTGATAGCAAATTTCAGTAAATATATAAATATGATGTCACATTATCATAATCTAAAAATTTGTCTGGAAAAAGAATGAATATTTGGCCAGTGGGACGTCGGAGAGCAATTGACCTCGACATTTTCTGGTACCAAGCGCACAGTTTTGAAGTATAACGCAAACTCTTGTCTTTGTTTGCTACTTGTTGGCATAAAAATTAAGCACTATATATATCAGAAAATCGTTTCATAAGCGGTAACCTCATCAAAACGGTAGAAATGGTTTAAATCAAATGATTTCTAAACTTTTTTCCTCCTTTTTCTCCGCTTCGTTGGTACCCAATTTCCGTTGGCTTTTATATTTTATTTTTTGTTGATGTTTATCATTTGAAATTGTCACAAGTTCATGTTTTACTTATATATATGACAATAAAGAATTATATACTGAATAATTTAAATTCTTATCCTTTGACATGGCATTTTCGTATAAAAAACACTGCGTTTTGCCCATGTCTGATGATGACGACTACCAGCTCAAACGAGTGTCTTCCGAATCACTATCCCATCCTCCACCCCCTCTTCTGCGCCTTTTATCCAGGAAAAAATACCCAGGTGTGCTTCTTGATTAAGTTAAATAGTAAAATTCAAATATACATTTTTCATAACTATCGATTAATTCCAGTACGTGGCAAATGTTTCATGCATATTCAGGACTAGAACAAATTGGCAATAAAAGGACCTTTAATAGTAAGCATTAGCTCGGATTAAAGTGACTTTCTCAAAAATCAATAGAGATCTTCCGCTCATTAAATATGACCATAATTATATCTAAGTAAGGTTTCAATCCAATATGTAATATCTGGTTACATATTGGATTGAAACCTTACTTAGATATAAAAGTTTTCTACACAAATTGAGGTCTATATTTATGCCCCTGCCGCTAGGCGAGGGGGCATTAAGTGTTACCCTTGACCGTCCGTCAGTCTGTCTTTCCGCCCGTACTTCCGTTCGTCCAATTTTTAAATTGCAAAGCTTGAGCAGGGGCAGGGGCATTCGTGTCCTCAGACACTTTCTTCTTTTATTAGTAACTATGATCTTGACCTTTGACATGGTGAACTAAAAATCAATGAGGAACTTCCTCTCATTACATGCGACATATATCCCAGTAAGGTTGCAATCTGATATACGAATTCGAGTCAACTGAGCATCTTGAAAAAAAGAACCGACAGACGGACAGACGGACTGACATACAGATGAACGGATTGACAGGCAGGAAAAAATCTTATAATTCATACCATCAGTAAGTAAGAGTCTGCATGGTAGGTACACAAGGATGAACAGCAGGGACTGACACTAGAGATTGATGGCTACTGAAGATGGATACTGGATAGACAGGAAATTTCCAACTAACCCATCAATGTGTTGTTGCAGTTATTCTTTAACGTGCAGTGTGTATGGAATTTGCCCTTCAAGAGACGTGGGATTTAGAATTTGGTGAAATTATTAACATCTTTTCTGCAGCTAAATCCCAAGCAGGATGGATAGTCTTATTCTACTTAACATTAAAACCCCTTTTTAGTCAAAAATTTGGAATTTTGACTGAACGTTGCAATATTGCTGTATGAAAAAAAAAGAGGTCAAAAACGTATGAATAATTCAAATGTTGTGAAAATCTTTTCATATAAGTTCATCTTACTTTATGTAAACCAATGAACCAAGAAAATTCTAAAGAAAAAATAGTTTTTATATGCAACTCCATATTCAACTTTACATGGTTTTTAATATTCATCATATTTTTTTTTTTGGCAAAAGAAGTTTTCATAAAAGTAAACAAGAGTGCACACGCTGAAATGTCTCGCCTTCTTTACTAATCATTGATATTATGTTGATAGTCCTAAATATAAAGCTTTATTACAACTGTCACATAAACTTAACATTAACCAAGTAAACTAAACATTGACCAATGAACCACGAAAATGAGGTCAAGGTCAGATGAACCATGCTAGGCAGGCATGTACAGCTAACAATTCTTCCATACAACAAATATAGTTGTCCTATTGCTTATAGTTTAAAGAAAAACAGACCAAAACACAAAAACTTAACACTGAGCAATTAATGAACCTTCAAAATGAGGTCAAGTTCAATTAAAACCTGCGTGACTGACATATAGACCATAAAATATTTCCATACACCAAATATAGTTGTATATAGTACAAGAAAAACAGAACAAAACACAAAAATCTAACTATAACCACTGAACCATGAAAATGAGGTCAAGGTCAGATGACACCTGCCAGTTGGACATGTACACCTTACAGTCCTTCCATACACCGAATATACTAGACCTATTGCTTATAGTATCTTAGTCCGAGATTACCCTGACGTCCAACGGCTGTTTTGCCAGACAAGCTGGGGCCGTGGGACGTCCCACGGCCCCAGCTTGTCTGGCAAAACAGCCGTTGGACGTCAGAGCAGGAACATATATATTAGATTTACTGTTCCCAGGTCAGAGTAATCTCGGACTAATAGTATCTGAGATATGGACTTGACCACCAAAACTTAACCTTGTTCACTGCTGATCCATGAAATGAGGTCGAGGTCAAGTGAAAACTGTCTGACGGGCATGAGGACCTTGCAAGGTACGCACATACCAAATATAGTTATCCTATTACTTATAATAAGAGAGAATTTAACATTACAAAAAATCTTTACTTTTTTTTCAAGTAGTCACTGAACCATGAAAATGAGGTCAAGGACATTGGACATGTGACTGACGGAAACTTCGTAACACGAGGCATCCATATACAAAGAATGAAGCATCCAGATCTCCCACCTTCTAAAATATAAAGCTTTTAAGAAGTTAGCTAACGCCGCCGCCGCCGTGGATCACCATCCCTATGTCAAGCTTTCTGCGACAAAAGTCGCAGCCTCGACAAAAAATCATACTATTCTGATTTGAATTCAAAATGACATAAATACGTAATGCTTAGTAGAAAATATTTTAGCTCTACTTGTCTTGTGTATGGTCTAAAAATTCATAATGTTGGGATAATTTCAGCTTATTTGGTGTAATCTGGGACCAATATTTATAAATCCAAGGTGTTAATTGATATGACATAATTTTCATTTTTCATAATGTACTAAAGTTTTTGTCATTCTGTGCAAACAATACTTATTTCATGGCATAAAAAGTGCCACAAGCCACAAATATATGAGTATATGCTGCTTAATAAATGTTTCGACTTAAGGTCGCACAACATTCAGCCAACATGATATTCTTCTAGCTTCTACGTTATATGACTTAAAACAAAAAGACATTTTCCCCATTCAGATTAAATTCAGCATTTGTCCTCAACATGCATGAAATATTTGCCACTGGATGTTGAGCAAACATCAACTAATCAATCAATTCAGTATACATATTTAATTAAATAGGAACAAAATTATTGCGGAAATTAATCCGAATGAAATGTGACTTTTTTTCATTTCCCTCCATGAATACAAAACTATAGTTGTTGGCCACTTTCAGCAACCTAATGGCTTTATATGGCAGTCAGTCTATGGTTGGTGGAGGAAGATGGAACTAATACCCGGAGAGAACCACCAATCTTCAGCAGAAAAACTCAGGCAATCCTTGTTAATCAAGATCTGAGTTGAACCCTCGCAATGACCAGGTTTCAGATTTGGATCAAAGTTGAAAGGCTAGTGACTGGTTCCATCAGATGTAAATTGAGATAGAACAAATCATTATTCAATAGCCTTAATATGAACAAACAAAAATGTCTAACATGCATGCTCAACAGTTAAATACCTCTCATAAAAGTGACCTAATATAATATAAGGGATCTTATGAATACTTCTGAGCATCATACATCAACATTATCATAAACTGTTAACACAGAGATATGCCTCGCCTTTTTGTTATTTTGCTAGTAAAATGCAAATGATATTTAAATAGCAAAACTTTAACATGCAAGTTATGCAAAATATTCAAAGTCAATGAACCATGACTGAAGGCACAGGGCCAAACATTCTCCATGGAAATACGATGTGCCAATGCTAATACAACATACTAAATATCATTGACCTACCACTAGTTGTTACCCATAAACTGACCTAATCACAAACTTATACATGTAAACTAAGCAAAAGTTTCAAAGTCAGTAGACAATGACCGAGGGGACGGGGCCAAATAATCAGGCTCCATGGAAATGAGATGTGCCAATGCTGATACAACTGCATACCAAATATCATTGACCTATCACTAGTAGTGGTTCCCCATAATCAGAAAGTAGGTACCTCGCAGATCTGAAAAGCTCTCACATGTTATAACTCATCACTGTCAAGCTTTGACCAAAATGGTAGTCATCCTGTTCAGCAGTACCTGAAAAAAATGTGACGGAAATATTTGCTGGACAAACGGGCAGACAGAGGAACAGACCGACAAGGTGAATGCAATATAGCCTTAACTCCTCGAGGAGGGATATTATACTAGGACAAAAAGCCATCATTGCTGATTTTCAATATAAACTTTTATTAAGAAATATTATTATTTCAATAACCATACACAAAACGCAAAAAAAAAAATAACACTTGAATGTTTTGTTAATAAAATATCATGCTCTTACTCCAAATATTGAAAATTAAGAAACAATGTAATTATTTTTTTAAGTACTGGTAATCAAATTCGAAATACTTTACCCTCCTTCTAGATTCATCCAAACTTAATCCAATGGCAGGTTTTAGTAGTTTTATTGAAAATTGGTCATAAGAGATGACTACAATTAGATGAAAGAAGCACCTGCTGTTAGATTGAAACAGAATAAACCTTCACAAAGTCTTGTTCTATCTCTCTATCAAATATGCAAATCAGATGAATTTAAAATATAAAAAGAAGAATTTAATATCCAAAAGATATCATTAAATTTCAAACCAACCCATACTGCTATTTCCTATAACTTAGTTTACAGTTTTTACTAAGCTCTACAAAATGGCAAATTTTGATTACATCTGATGTGCTCCTATTAATGTCTAATTAATTACCTTTCACCAAAGGAAGCGACCAGAATAAGGAGGTAAATAGGTGTATTCCCTCCCCTTGCCATAAACTTAACCCTATTAGCTCCTCATTCATCACATGGATTTTGCTTTCTGTGTTGAAGGGGTTCACAAATGACATAGATACGCATAGAATAGAACATGACTGTGATGTTTAAAACAATGAGAGCTGATTTATTAAATTTTGATCCATGTCATATTCAAGTGTATATTCTTTGTTCATAGATTCAAGCCATAAAACAAATTAAAGAAAAAGTAGCATCTCAAAATACTATCTTCCACTTCTAGATTTATCTTATCTAAACCAAATGATAGGTTAAGTTTGGCAACTTGTTTGAGACCAGTCTACAAAAAGTTGTAAGAAGTGCCTGCTGTTTGGCTGAAAGAAAATAAACCTCCACAAAATATATTTCTCTCCCTCACACACACCAGATATATTAAGTTGTAAGAATACTTTTCGATCCAATACAACTTATAAATTTCAGAAAATCCCATACTGCCATTTCCTAGAACTTAGTTTACAGTTTTTCTTTTATCTTTTTTTTTCTTTATCTTTTGTTTACATTATTTCTTTACTATTAGCTCTACAAAATGGCAAATTTTGATAACATCTGTGTCCCTTAAATATATTACATGTAAATAATACAAGTATGATAAATTAACTTTCATCATAGGAAGAAACCAGTAATAGGAGGTAAATAGGTTTATTCCCTCCCCTTGCCATAACTTCAACCTATTAGCTCCTCATTCAATTTAGATTTCACTTCCTGTGTTGAAAACTAAAAAAAAATAAATATATATATATATATATAAAATGGTACACTTAATATATTGCATAAGTGTGATAATTTAGATATAAAATGAAAGTTTATGATTTAAATTTTTTAGTATGTAATATTTTTAGTGTATCCTTTTTAAAAATACAGTTTTCAATACACATTAATGTAATACTCATCCAAGATTTATCCAATTTAAACAAATTGGCAAGTGCTTGATTATTTCAATACAAAAAGTTATAAAGAAGAACCTGCTGTTTTGCTGAAAAAGAATAGACCTTTACATAGTCCTTCTTTCTGTCTTTCATACACTGCAATTCCTCTTAGAATAATCTTGTTTAAGCCATAAATACAAACAAACAAAAAATAGCAGTGACCGTCTATAGTCAAACAGCTCGTAAAAAATGGAAACAATAGTATGAAACAGGATAAATCTTTACAAATGAATATTCTAACTATCTCACATTTTAACATAATGAATTTTGAAGAAAAAAAAAACATTTTTAATCAAACATTGAAGATAAGCAGTGAGCTTTAAAATGAACAAATATAATCTTCACAAAATCTAGCTGACTCTCTCTTTGCCTTTCACACATTTCATATTTTAAAATTATATTTGACTCTCCATCCTCAATTTTATAATTAATAAAAAAGTTCGTGTGTGTTGATGTCCTTCCTTCATTTTCACCTTTTTTTCAAAATATCCACAATTGGAAGTATCAAACATTACCTACAAATGGAATGATAAGTTTTATCACAAGGTTCTTAAAAATAAAAAGGAGAAACAGTTTTTCTGTGTCACAATATTTATTCTTCATAATCAGGTTAATCATTGACAGTTAGGATTATGTTTTGCTGCTAAGTTCTTTATTTTTTATACCATTTGGTGTCCAAGATTGAATATCCGTTTACAATGCAAGCCAGGTGGCAAATAATTGGTTTTAAGAAGACGAAAAAGTTTCAAATGGTAAAACTTGACCATTCTGTGGTTTTTGCATAAACATATGAATCTTACAGTAAGATATGAATGTTATTTCAGTCCTATTTGCAAATCTGATTTGATGATGATATGATCTTGTATTTATAAATTAGTCCAGAAGAAAAAAATCTCTATAACTATCTCCCTTGAAATAATTTTCAGCAATGCATTTCCCCCTCCCCCCTTTCCTCAGTATGATTGTGTGATGTACACATTTTTACATAATTAGTATATCTTCCCACCACCCCCCAAGGTATGCAAGAATACAACCGGTCTCTTTAACAATGCATTTGTGTAGTGTTTTTGTAATAATGCTGACTTACCTAAACATCAGGTAAATTTATTCCCATTAAGTTTTCATCTAATAACGGCACTTTGTGAATACCATGCAGGGCCAGCATTGAATGAAGCTGAAAAAATAAATTATCAAAATGTTTTACTGTTCTGAGATACTTATATTTCTTCAACTTCTAATTGGTAGCATTAGAATATTAATTAGCATATTACTCATTTCTATTCTGGATTTTATTTTCTGTTAAAGTTATCCAATCTGAGCAGCCACTTAAAAATCAGCCTTCATTAACTGCAACAGTGTTCAAAAGATAAATTTTTGAAACAAGAACAATAGCCCTAGAATATCGCATCCATTATTCTTATTGGATCTTTTTCCTTATGCATTTTCTCAATATAGTAAAAATTATGAGAGTTCTAAGGTCCCAGCCAGATAGATGACTTGGTCTTATTGATGCATTGACCATTATAAATCAACCTTCTAAAGTATTTTTTTTTAAATTTAAGAAAAGATTACCTCGTGTTTTGCATTGAACCACTTCAGATTTGAGATAACAATCTCTTGAAAACTTCCTGTTTGCTATTTTCATCCTGAAAAAAAAAAAAAAAAAAAAAAAAATAGAAAAATATGCTTAAAAGTTAAAACAAATGATATAATTAGAAATGCATATAATCTAATTTTAATAATATTTAAAATTTAATTCCTATAACTTAACTCTGAAATATTTCATTCACACTTCTTATTATCAGTGATTGAAAAGTGACAAGCTCTCAAAATCCTAGCTTAAACCCTGCTCATTATTATCATGAAATGGCACTTTTGAGGTAAAACAGTATCAATTTTCCAAGTCCTGCAGCAACATCGAATTAACCTTTTTGTTTAATCTTGGCATCTCAAAAAGAATGGATCAACATTTGTAAATGAAACATACTTCACCACGCACATAATTTTTCATAATCCATTAAATGGCAAATCTACATAAAGATGACTAAATATGACATGCAAAAAGTTCAATTTAAATGTTTAAAAGATATTACTTTAATTTTGTCTGCTCTTTTAACTTATCAGTTAGCAATGCATTACTGTGAATAATCTAATATAATTTAATCTCTTTAATGTTCACTCAGGCCTTTGCTCTGGTCATGGAGATCTCTTGCTTGGATAACCATCTTTCATAATATTCCATTCCAACTCGTTGCAATCAGTTGATGTCCACTTGCAAATATTTTATGCATATTCAGGACATTAATTCCAGTAGATACCTTTTGCAAAATTGGTAAACCAGGATGAAAGGTATAAGATTTAAACTACCATTGAAAAAAGGGGAAACTTGGAGGCAGAAATTCTGTCTTGCAACAGGCAAGCTACATACCCCTCAGAGATCCTCAGAGTTGTTGCCAGGGTTCTTTAATGTGCAGAGATCAATCTCCTACTTCACAATCAAATCGGATGTGACTGCATATTAATATTCCATAGCAACAAAAACAGATCCCCTTCAAATAAGATTTACCGCTGGATGGGAGAAGTCCAGATGACCACATATCCCACTGAACCCTTGGGTTTCCCCATTTGAATAAAATTTTACATTAATTAGGGGTTTGGGTATTGCCTCTAAATACCACCTCCCCCCTTTTAACTTTATTTGTATTTGGCAATTTATACTCTGTTGTAAAGTTTTCTTTTCTTCAATTTATTTCTCTTTTTAATATATTCTAAATTTCTGCACATAAATGTTAGGTTGAAAACCTATCGAGGAATGGACAATTCATTTTTCACTCGCATCTTTCTTTGTGTTATTTTATTCTCAGATTTGTTGTACTTTATTTATTGACCAATTAAAATATTATTTTATGATACCTATTAAAATTCTTTGAAGTTTTCCCTCCATCCCAAATATAAACCACACTCTCGAATGGCACTAAAAATGAATATTTTACCCTTGCCTTACAAAGCTTCAAAGTCAGCTAGAACACAACCATTAGGTTCAAAAATAATAATACAAAATCAATAATAAATTGTGTGGCCCTGTAAGAAAACTCTACCACTTGCACATAATTGCATTGCATTAAAAGGACAAGATATTAAAATGTTCCAAGAACTGTTGCACCATATAATGACTAGCAGTGTTTTGTTTATATTAACAAAATTATTTTTTACTACTATTTAACTTATGAAATTTTGGGGGTTTTTTGGTAATTCTTTTGGTGGTTTTTTTCATTTAGTTTTATACTTTTACTTCCAAATTTAACATTAAGGTATTGGGAAAAACTGGATTCAGAATATTTTTTTTTGTCATCTGCTTGACAAAATTTTTTTTCATCAAATTGGGGATCAGAATATGTTTTTAGGAGAAAACCATAACCATGCAAAATAAACTGTGAATTTAAACAACATGGAGTTCAATTTTAACTGTGCATTTCTAACCAGAAAAAAATCAAAATTTACTATCTGCTTAATTTTAGAAAAAACTTCTATTCTTGATCAAGTTTCTCTTTATTTTTTTAGTATAATTTTAAATTCTATAATATGTCAAAATACATACTCCAAGCAATTCTTAAATGATCATGAAGAGAAGGAAATCTTACACAAAAATATTAACTTTTACAAATAATCTAACAACGTTTTTTTTAATCTGCTTTAATTTAAGAATTGAATATCTAAAATTTGAGAATACATTTAAACAGAAACCAATATAGAGCTGCTATCAACACAAAATTCTCTAAATAACATAAATGATAAAAGACAAATATGGACAATTAAGGATCTGGACTTTAGTAATGAATAATATGCACTACAATGATTATATAATTTTGATAAAATTAATTTTGAAATAATTACGAAAAAATTCAAATTGTTACTGAATCAAATGAGACCCCATAGAAAAAACTTTTTAAAACTTAAAACATCATATAAATAAACTTCAGAAATACATAACTAAGAAACTCTATAAAAACTATAGACAACATTTCATTACTATCAAATACATGTATATGAAACCATTCAAACCAGCAAAATAGCAAGAAAAAGGAAACACAACTTAGAAATGACCAATGAAGTTTAGATATACCAATGATATAGAAAAAATGTTAGGTCTGTTAGATTGGTGGTTAAATGTTAGTATAGAAATGGCTAGTAAGTAAGATGTATTTCTGAATTTATTATCTGATATTTATTTGCATTATTACATTTACCCTTGAATAAAAATATTTTTCTGTCAATTTATAATGTTACGTGCACATATTCCCCTTTATATAAGGTAATTAATTATGGCCATTAACACCAAAAAATATCTCGATTTTATTTAATTGCTTATTATTCAACATTAACAAATTATTACCCGACATCCAAATCGAGTTTTACATGTACCTGAAAACTGAAATCTTTTTTCTTTATTTAGCAATTTGTTGAATATGGAATATTGATAGTCTCAGCTAAATTAATTCACTTTTTCTAGATAAGGGTTCAAAGCTCTTGTCAACATATTGTATAAGATACTTTTTTTTTAAATTGTTGATTGTTGGAGACCATAATTTTTTAAGTTCATATTCTTTTTTTTTTGTGACGTTGGGTTGCTGTCTAATTGACCAATGATGTATTATGTATATCTACACAGCTTTTTTTGTAGTTTAACAGGTTGTGTCAAATGCCAACTTTCAAAGCTGCAATTTCCCAAATATAAATGAGTATAAATCTCTAATCTATTTATAATCTTTTTTTTTTAAACCATTCATTTTGCTTTAGATGTCCTTGAATAAAAAAACATGTAAGATCAACAATTTAATATATGTGCTTCTATACAGATGCATGCTAGCATACATCTGATACATTAAGGATATAATCTGAAATAAATCTGATATGTTAAGGATACATACATATAATACATTAAGGAATAAGTAACTACTAAATAGATTTAAATCCTTCAAGAATGAAATTAAAAGTTCGGTTTGTAGATCCTGCAAAAAATACAAATATTTCATAAGATATCTATGGGATATTTCTGCAGTCACATCCTCAAAATACCCAACTTGGTTCATTCTGAAATAAAAACAAATTGGAGGCCATCTGCAGTCACATCCTCAAGTAATGGTACTCTTTTACAAGCTCTGGGTAGAAGGCATATAACTGCTGCAGGAACACAGTGGAACTGTCAACTACCCAGTTCGGGTCATCTACAACGGAGCCATTCTCAAAGTGTATGACTCTCGGTCCATTCTGATATAAAAATTAATCTGATATGAAAAAGATACAAAGTTGCATTCATCTGATACATTAAGGATATAAGCTGTGCTAAATCTGATCTATTAAGGATACAGGCTGGCATACATCTGATACATTAAGGATACAGGCTGGCATACATCTCATATAGCTAGGGTACAGGCTGGTATACATCTGATATAGTAAGGATACAGACTGGCATACATCTGATACATGAAGGATACAGACTGGCATTATGTAACATCTGATACATAAGGATACAGACTGGCATACATCTGATATAGTAAGGATACAGGCTGGCATACATTGGATACATTAAGGATACAGGCTGGCATACATCTGATATAGTAAGGATACATGCTGGCATACATCTGATATACTGTAAGGATACAGGCTGGTATACATTGCATGCATTAAGGATACAGACCAGCATACATCTGATATATAGTAAGGATACAGGTTGCCATACATTGGATACATTAAGGATACAGGCTGGCAAACATCTGATATAGCAAGGATACAGGCTGGCATACATCTGATACATTAAGGATTCAGACAGGCATACATCTGATATAGTAAGGATTCAGGCTGGCATACATCTGATAGGTTAATATTACAGGTTGGCAAACATCAAAAACAAAACGGATACAGGCTGGCATACATATAATACTTAAATGATACAGACTGGCATACAACTGACATAGTAAGGATACAGGCTGGCATACATATACATAAAGGATACAGACTGGCATACATCTGATATAGTAAGGATACAGGCTGGCATACATATGATACATAAAGGATACAAACTGATATACATCTTATAGGTTAAGGATACAAGTTGGCAAGCTTCTGAAACATTAAGATACAGGCTGGTATACATCTGATATAGTAAGGATACAGGCTGGCATAAATCTGATACAATAAGGATACAGGCTGGCATACATCTGTTAAAGTAAGGATACAGGCTGGCATACATTTGATATAGTAAGGATACAGGCTGGCATAAATCTGATACATTAAGGATACAGGCTGGCATACATCTGTTAAAGTAAGGATACAAGCTGGCATATAATTTGGTTCAAGTATGCAAGATGAAAGTCTGAAAAGGTTTGAAATTATGAGTTTGTACTGTCTTTGTGGTAGAATCAAGCAAAATGTTTATATCCAAGTAAAAGGAAGACATCAATTAAAATCTCTATTTGAAATTTGAAACATATTTGGGAATTTATAATGCAGTATACATTTTTGTTTTTGTCTCATGCTTATATACTTTTCAATTGAATGATTGTGCAAAACACAGTAATTATGTTATCATATATAACACTGATTCAGATTCATAATCAAATATATGAATTTACATGAAAAGTTCACTAAATTAAAATGTTAAAGATTTACAGGTCAACAAGTCATTCTCTTACGGTTGTGGCCTGTTTTCTATTTCTTGCATGAATAAATATTTCTTGTATCACACGTCTGCACAGTGTGTGATAGGAAAAAGTTAGACGAAAATCTGTGTTAATTTGATTGGCTTTGATCCAGCATCATAGACGATATTACGACATTTCCATTGGCTATTCGTTAGGTAATTGATGACTTTCAAAGGTTAAGACTATGTACATTTCATCCATGGCAACAGATATATGTTATTTCTTCCAATAATATACAAAACACTCACACATTTCACCTGACAATCTTATTTTTATCAAATTTTATTACATTCTAAAGCGTACAAAAGTCTTAAAATGTCTGATTTTAAAGTTTCATGACATCAGAAAAGGACATATGACATCATACTGGAATGTGCAAAAGACTAGATCAACGATTCAAAGAATTTTTAATTTAACACAATGAGAGCTAGTGTTGACCATAAGAGAAATAGGTTTAACAATTTGTGAGAATTGGATATGGCTTGATATCATCTCTCGTTATTTAATTTAAATAGTAAACTCGCCGAAGGCTTGTTTATTATTATATTGAAATTAAATAACTCGAGTTAAATTGATATCAAGCGATATCACATTCTCAGTTATGAAACCTATGAATATCATACATTACTGTGATAACGTAAATCTGTAAGCCAACATTTACAAACTAGAAAACTGGACCCATCAAATAATGAACAAAATATTGTAAATTTGGAAATTTTTCATTCATCTAATTATCACTATTTCACAGTAGACATTGAACCTGAAATAAATTGTACACGAACATTTCTCTGTTCATTGAAAGGAACTGTGGCCATGAAACATTAAAAATAAGTGCAGTGAAGACTTAATTATCAAAACCTTAATCGTCCAAATAGGGAACAACACCTGATAAATTTTTTCTTCTAATATGTATCGTATAAACTTACAGGCTGACATACATCTATTAAGTAAAGGATACTGAAGTTGGCCATCAACTAAAACATTTAGAATTTGCAGGCTGGTATATAATCTCTTCAAGTATACAAGATGAAAAGCCTGAAAAGAAAAGAACAGTTTGGAAATTACAAGTTTGTATATAATGAACTCTGTGGTAAAGTATATCAAAATGTTTATAATCCAATTAGTTTAACTGTCAAAAGTTAAGGTCCTAGCAAGGAATAAAACCTGATGCAAAACAAGTGAAACTGCGAACAACGTACTGCTCACTGATGATACCCCCGCCCAAAAACTTGACGGTAAACAGGAAGTTGTTGAGTAATGAATCTGAAAACAAATCACATGGTATAGCTGACTTATATAAATCCTGAAACCGAATTTTAGAAATCCCTATGATGTAGTTCCTGAGAAAGATGCGACGAAAAATATTCATGGGACAGATGGACGGACTAATGGATGGACGGACGGACAGAGGTAAAACAGTTAATACCCCCACTTTTTTAAGCGGGAGTATAAAAATGACCTAATATATATATAGCATAACATTACAGGTTGACCATTCATCTGATACATTCAGGATGCAGGCTGGCATATAATCTTGTTTAAGTATTCAAGATGAAAGTTTGAAAAGAAAAGAAGTTTTTTGAAATTATGAGTTTGTATAAAATGCACATGTCTGTGTGATAGAATAAATCAAAATATTTATGATAATCCAGCAAAATTTACTGTTGAAAAGTGGTCCAAACAGGGAACAAAAACTAAGGAAAAAAACTGTTGACACAGATGTGTCTCGCCTGTTGGCATAAACTTCAGAAAAAGACAATCTGATGGACACTCACTGCAACATGGTTTATTAATTCAGTCACTGGACCATGACCTAGGGGTCAGGGCCTAAAAATAGTCTTCAAACTGATATGCACTGATTCAACAATTGTTAACGCCATTGAAGGAAAAGCAATCCATATGTCTCACCTTACACGACTTTCATCCCAGGGGAGATAAATTACCTGATATATAAAGTTTAAACATACAGGTTAGCCATCATCTGATAAATTAAGGATGCAGGCTGGCATATAATCTTGTTCCAGTATACAAGATGAAAGTCTGAAAAGAAAATTAGGAACAGTTTTGAAATTATAAGTTTGTATATATAAATTAACTTTAAAATCAACATGGCTGAACTATCTTTGTGGTAGAATCCATCAAGATATTTATGATAATCCAGAAAAATTAACCAAAAGATATAAAAATGTGTATAACAAATTTGACCATTTATAATTTTTTACACATTTAAAACATATTAGAGAATACATATATATAGTATACTTAATTCTAGTTGTCTCATGCTTCTAACTTTCAATTGAATGATTGTGCAAAACAGCAGTTTTGTTTTTAAATATAAATTGGATTCAGATTCAGAATAAAAAATCCTTTGAATTTTCATTAAGAGTTCACTAACTTAGAATGTTAAAGATTTACAGATCAACAAGTCCATAGATGCCAACCCTCTTTTGGTGCATTCAGTAAAACAGTTATAAAGATTTCCGTAATTTAGGTCTTTATTCAGTAATAATATTTTCTTCATAAAATTTTGTAATAATCATATAAACAACTAAGCACACAGTGATATGATTATTAGTTGCTTAGCATCCAGTGGCAAATATTTCATACATGTTCAGGACGAGAACAAATGAATAATAAATACAGAAGGTAGGTCCTTTATTAGAAGACGTCCGGGATGAGGGTCGGGAAATTTAGACTGCCACTGGAAAATGAGGGTATATTGGATGCGAGACAGAAATTAAGCATTACAACAATCCCCTAAGTTTTGTTTCAACGGTTCTTAACGCGCACCGAGCGTGGCAATCTTAATAATTTAAAGTCCCCAACCGGACTGGACGTGGCTGCGTACTTGTACATCCAACACAGCCAAACGGACGCCCAACTTTGGCAAGGGTTTTACTGCCTATTGAAGAAAACCTGTAGTACCATATTTCTATTCCACAGACACCCTATTGGGTGACTCTCAGTGACAAAATGATTTCCTTTTTTTATCAGAACTACGATTCAAATTTGATGAGCAAATGATAATCACTGACCATCGCGCTAAATGGAAATCTTTTTCATAATATATGCAAAAGGCATAATTGTTTCGGATTTCTAGTTTTCTTTCTTTGCTTCAGATATTTGATTTGTTCCAATAGACATAATGTCAAATTGAAAACAAAGACTTGTTTCGTTCATTAATTATTCAGAATTGAACATGAAATAGAGAGATCATTTTCAACTGGTAGTCCGGATTGATTGTTTATTGATTGTTGGTTGATTAACGTCCAGTGGAAAATATTTCATGTATGTTCAGGACGAGAACATGTTGACAATTAATTCAATAGATAGGTCTTACAATGGAGGCCGTCGGGGATGAAGGTTGGGGAAAGTTTGGACTTCCACAGGAAAATGAGAGTATATTGCAACAGGCCACCCACGTACCCCTCAAAGAGTTGTTACAAGGGTTCTTAACGTGCAAACTCTCTCTACATGAGGCATCGGATTTAAAGTCCTCATTTTGACTGGACGTGGCTGCGTACTTGATACATCCCGAACTACCAAATGGACGCCCCACTTTGGCGAGGAACAGTGGTGACCATATTTCTATTCCCGTCACCCTTGGGGTGTAGTCCCCAGAAACCTAATGGAAAATAACAGTGTGAACCATTCAAGCGCTTAATGTTACAAGATTCTAATGAAACATTAAGCGTCACAATGATGAAAATGATTTATATACGGAAAACTGTTCTGGACAGCTAATGAACGTTAATCAGTAACAAATAAGACTATTAATCGTAACACCATAATTTTGGTCCAAAATTCGTAACAATTACGGGAAAATCGTAATGGTTGGTATCTATGCAAGTCTATCTTATATATTACTGTGATAATGTAAATATGTAAGCCGACATTTACAAATCGTAAAACTGGATCCAAAATATAATAAAGTAAGTTGTAAATCTGGAAATTTTTGTGTGTCCAATTTTTGCAGTAAACATTTTTTCTTTGTTTATCAAAACTCATTGTGACCATGAAACATTAGAAATAAATGCAGTGAAGATCTATCACAGTTTAAAGTCCAAACTGGGAACAAAACCTGAAGCAAAAAATAAACTGATGTATAGTGAAAACTTACAGAATCTCTACCTTCATAAATCTGTGGCTTTCTATTGGCTCTTTGACATCATTTGTGTCGATGGAAGATAACAAAATAAAGAATAAGAGTTGATTAAAACTGATTCTGAACACTTTCACCAAATACTTTTATATAATTCCCATCCTCACCACTGACTTCCCAATGAAGCTAAGTCCTGGTCCTGTTGTGTAATCAGAACAACAATCTGTAATTAAGGAAGATAACAAACAAAACAAATAATTAAAAACAATAACATCAATAACATTATAACAGCCAATACTTACAACTTTCCAATGGAGTTAAGTCCTGTTGAATGAATTACAATCTGCAACAACCAAAGATTACAAACAAAACATAGCATAAAAAACAACAACATTATAAATGCATTTAAACATGCGATTGCAAAGTCAAAATTTTTTTGAATTATTTTTTTAAAATCATATTGCAGTCAAAATTTTCTTAAATTTGTGAAATTATATTGAACTAAAAATATATTAATATTTCATTCTGATCACTTTCATTAAATACTTAAGAGCCAAAACTTGCCACTCTCCAATGAAGCTAAGTCCTGTTGTGTGAACTACAATCTGCAACAAAGATAGTCTGATTAAAACCAGTCCCCACTGCAAGTGGATAGTGGGGACTGGTTTTAATCAGACTGCAACAAAGAAATATTACGAACAAAACATATCATAAAAAACAATAATATCATTCATTTATTTAAACATGTAATTTGCAAAGTCAAACTTTTCTTAAATTTGTAAAATTATATTGCAAAGTCAAAATTTTCTTAAATTTGTAAAATTATATTGACCTAAAAATATTGTTATCTTTTATTCTGAACACTTTCATTAAATACTTAAGAACCAAAACTTGCCACTCTCCAATGAAACTAAGTCCTGTTGTGTGAACTACAATCTGCAACAAAGATAGTCTGATTAAAACTAGCCCCAACTGCAAGTGGATAGTGGGGGCTGGTTTTAATCAGACTGCAACAAAGAAAGATTACGAACAAAACATATCATATTTAAAAAACAATAATATCATTCATTTATTTAAACATGTAATTTGCAAAGTCAAACTTTTCTTAAATTTGTAAAATTATATTGCAAAGTCAAAATTTTCTTAAATTTGAAATTATATTGACCTAAAAATATATTTATATTTTATTCTGAACACTTTCATTAAATACTTAAGTGCCAAAACTTGCCACTCTCCAATGAATCTAAGTCCTGTTGTGTGAACTACAATCTGCTACAAAGATAGTCTGATTAAAACCAAAACCATGTTTTAATCAGACTGCAACAAAGAAAGATTACGAACAAAACATATCATAAAAACAATAATATCATTCATTTATTGAAACATGTAGTTTGCAAAGTCAAACTTTTCTTAAATTTGTAAAATTATATTGCAAAGTCAAAATTTGCTTTAATTTGTAAAATTATATTGACCTAAAAATATATTTATATTTTATTCTGAACACTTTCATTAAATACTTAAGAGCCAAAACTTGCCACTCTCCAATGAAGCTAAGTCCTGTTGTGTGAACTACAATCTGCAACAAAGATAGTCTGATTAAAACCATCCCCAATTTCAAGTGGATAGTGGGGGCTGGTTTTATTCAGACTGCAACAAAGAAAGATTACGAACAAAACATATCATAAAAACAATAATATCATTCATTGAAACATGTAATTTGCAAAGTCAAAACTTTTCTTAAATTTGTAAAATTATATTGCAAAGTCAAAATTTTCTTAAATTTGTAAAATTATATTGACCTAAAAATATATTTATATTTTATTCTGAACACTTTCTTTAAATACTTAAAGAGCCAAAACTTGCCACTCTCCAATGAAGCTAAGTTCTGTTGTGTGAACTACAATCTGCAACAAAGATATTCAGATTAAAACCAGACCCCACTGGAAGTGGATTGTGGGGGCTGGTTTTAATCAGACTGCAACAAAGAAAGATTACGAACAAAACATATCATAAAAAACAATAATATCATTCATTTATTTCAACATGTAATTTGCAAGGTCAAACTTTTCTTAAATTTGTAAAATTATATTGCAAAGTCAAAATTTTCTTAAATTTGTAAAATTATATTGACCTAAAAATATATTTATATTTTATTCTGAACACTTTCATTAAATACTTAAGAGCCAAAACTTGCCACTCTCCAATGAAGCTAAGTCCTGTTGTGTGAACTACAATCTGCAACAAATTTAGTCTGATTAAAACTAGTGGGGGCTGGTTTTAATCAGACTGCAACAAAGAAAGATTACGAACAAAACATATCATAAAAACAATAATATCATTCATTTATTGAAACATGTAATTTGCAAAGTCAAACTTTTCTTAAATTTGTAAAATTATATTGCAATGCCAAAGTCAAATATTTCTTAAATTTGTAAAATTATATTGACCTAAAAATATATTTATATTTTATTCTGAACACTTTTATTAAATGCTTAAGAGCCAAAACTTGCCACTCTCCATAAAGCTAAGTTCTGTTGTGTGAACTACAATCTGCAACAAAGATAGTCTGATTAAAACCAGCCCCCACTGCAAGTGGATAGTGGAGGCTGGTTTTAATCAGATCGCAACAAAGATAGATTACGAACAAAACATACCATAAAAAACAATAATATCATTCATTTATTTAAACAAGTAATTTGAAAAGTCAAACTATTCTTAAATTTGTAAAATTATATTGCAAAGTCAAAATTTTCTTAAATTTGTAAAATTATATTGACCTAAAAATATATTTATATTTTATTCTGAACACTTTCATTAAATACTTAGGAGCCAAAACTTGCCACTCTCCAATAGAGCTAAGTCCTGTTGTGTGAACTACAATCTGCAACAAAGATAGTCTGATTAAAACTAGCCCCACTGCAAGTGGAAAGTGGGGGCTGGTTTTAATCAGACTGCAACAAAGGAAGATTACGAATAAAACATATAAAAAACAATAATATCATTCATTTATTTAAACATGTAATTTGCAAAGTCAAACTTTTCTTAAATTTGTAAAATTATATTGCAAAGTCAAAATTTTCTTAAATTTGTAAAATTATATTGACCTAAAAATATATTTATATTTTATTCTGAACACTTTCATTAAATACTTAAGAGCCAAAACTTGCCACTCTCCAATGAAGCTAAGTCCTGTTGTGTGAACTACAATCTGAAACAAAGATAGTCTGATTAAAACCATCCCCAATTTCAAGTGGATAGTGGGGGCTGGTTTTAATCAGACTGCAACAAAGAAAGATTACGAACAAAACATATCATAAAAACAATAATATCATTCATTTATTGAAACATGTAATTTGCAAAGTCAAACTTTTCTTAAATTTGTAAAATTATATTGCAATGCCAAAGTCAAATATTTCTTACATTTGTAAAATTATATTGACCTAAAAATATATTTATATTTTATTCTGAACACTTTTATTAAATACTAAAGAGCCAAAACTTGCCACTCTCCATAAAGCTAAGTTCTGTTGTGTGAACTACAATCTGCAACAAAGATAGTCTGATTAAAACCAGCCCCCACTGCAAGTGGATAGTGGGGGCTGGTTTTAATCAGATCGCAACAAAGAAAGATTACGAACAAAACATACCATAAAAAACAATAATATCATTCATTTATTTAAACAAGTAATTTGCAAAGTCAAACTGTTGTTAAATTTGTAAAATTATATTGCAAAGTCAAAATTTTCTTAAATTTGTAAAATTATATTGACCTAAAAATATACTTATATTTTATTCTGAACACTTTCATTAAATACTTAGGAGCCAAAACTTGCCACTCTCCAATAGAGCTAAGTCCTGTTGTGTGAACTACAATCTGCAACAAAGATAGTCTGATTAAAACTAGCCCCACTGCAAGTGGATAGTGGGGGCTGGTTTTAATCAGACTGCAACAAAGGAAGATTACGAACAAAACATATAAAAAACAATAATATCATTCATTTATTTAAACATGTAATTTGCAAAGTCAAACTTTTCTTAAATTTGTAAAATTATATTGCAAAGTCAAAATTTTCTTAAATTTGTAAAATTATATTGACCTAAAAATATATTTATATTTTATTCTGAACACTTTCATTAAATACTTAAGAGCCAAAACTTGCCACTCTCCAATGAAGCTAAGTCCTGTTGTGTGAACTACAATCTGCAACAAAGATAGTCTGATTAAAACCAGCCCCCACTTCAAGTGGATAGTGGGGGCTGGTTTTAATCAGACTGCAACAAAGAAAGATTACGAACAAAACATATCATAAAAACAATAATATCATTCATTTATTTAAACATGTAATTTGCAAGGACAAACTTTTCTTAAATTTGTAAAATTATATTGCAAAGTCAAAATTTTCTTAAATTTGTAAAATTATATTGACCTAAAAATATATTTATATTTTATTCTGAACACTTTCATTAAATACTTAAGAGCCAAAACTTGCCACACTCCAATGAAGCTAAGTCCTGTTGTGTGAACTACAATCTGCAACAAATTTAGTCTGATTAAAACTAGTGGGGGCTGGTTTTAATCAGACTGCAACAAAGAAAGATTACGAACAAAACATATCATAAAAACAATAATATCATTCATTTATTGAAACATGTAATTTGCAAAGTCAAACTTTTCTTAAATTTGTAAAATTATATTGCAAAGTCAAAATTTTCTTAAATTTGTAAAATTATATTGACCTAAAAATATATTTATATTTTATTCTGATCACTTTCATTAAATACTTAAGAGCCAAAACTTGCCACTTTCCAATGAAGCTAAGTCCTGTTGTGTGAACTACAATCTGCAACAAAGATAGTCTGATTAAAACCATTACCCACTTCAAGTGGATAGTGGGGGCTGGTTTTAATCAGACTGTAACAAAGAAAGATTACGAAGAAAACATATCATAAAAACAATAATATCATTCATTTATTGAAACATGTAATTTGAAAAGTCAAACTTTTCTTAAATTTGTAAAATTATATTGCAAAGTCAAAATTTTCCTAAATTTGTAAAATTATATTGACCTAAAAATATATTTATATTTTATTCTGAACACTTTCATTAAATACTTAAGAGCCAAAACTTGCCACTCTCCAATGAAGCTAAGTTCTGTTGTGTGAACTACAATCTGCAACAAAGATAGTCTGATTAAAACCAGACCCCACTGGAAGTGGATTGTTGGGGCTGGTTTTAATCAGACTGCAACAAAGAAAGATTACGAACAAAACATATCATAAAAAACAATAATATCATTCATTTATTTCAACATGTAATTTGCAAGGTCAAACTTTTGTTAAATTTGTAAAATTATATTG